GTAGGGTCTCTGGAGAAAAGTGTTTTCAAAGGCAGTACGTCCATGACAGATGTCTCTGGGCTGTGTAAGGAAGGGCAATGTCCTCACAGGAAAGAGAACATGCTAGGGGACAGGACAAGGTGCTAGAAAGGCCCTCGGAAGGAGGACAGATGGATGGATACTGGGCATGGGGCAGAAAGGGTAAATGCATCCACAACAGGAAACTTGGAACAAGGGTTCTGTAGCCCCTGCTTTTCTTCCAGAATGCTGTTTATTTGGAACAGGGTCTCACTCTGTCACTCAGGCCAAAGTGCAATGGTGTGATACCAGCTCACTGCAGCCTCAATCTCCTGTGCTCAGGCGATCCTCCCTCCTCAAGTCTCCTGAATAGCTGGGACCACAGGCGCATGCCACCACTCTAGGCTAATTTTTGTTTTTTTTTGTAGAGATGAGCGTCGCCATGTTGCCCAGGCTTGTCTCAAACTCCTGAGTTCAAGCAATGCTCCTGTCTCTGTCTCCCAGAATGCTAGGTAGGATTACAGAGGTGAGCCACTGCGCCCAGTCCCCAGAATGCTTTGTTTTTATATACTTTAAGCTCTGGGGTACATGTGCAGATTGTGCAGGATTGTTACATAAGTAACAATCCTGTTACATGCTATGTCATGGTGGTTTTCTGCATCCATCCCCGCCGTCACCTACATTAGGTTTTTTTCTTTTTTGAGATGGAGTTTTGCTCTGTCTCCCAGGCTGGAGTGCACTGGCACGATCTCGGCTCACTGCAACCTTCACCTCCCAGGTTCAAGTGATTTCTCCTGCCTCAGCCTCCCGAGTAGCAGGGACTATAGGTGCAAGCCACCACACCCAGCTACATTTTTTTTTTTTTTTTTTTTTTTGTATTTTTAGTACAGACAAGTTTTCACCATGTTGGCCAGAATGATCTCAATCCGCTCACCTCAGCCTCCCAAAGTGCTGAGATTACAGGTGTGAGAGCCACCAGGCCGGACCCCCCAGAATGCTTTTTACTGCACCTCTGGCTGAAATACCTTTTCCTTCTTCTCAGAGCCTTTCAATGAGAGAACTTTTAGCTGAGCAGCAAGAGGAAATCCCAAGTCCTTAAATTTCACCTCCTGGGAGAGGTCCTCCCTCACCTTCTCATTTAAATGACACCTTCCGTCACCATTGTTATTTTCTCCAAGTACTTCTCTCAATAGCATTGCTCACAATTTGCAATCATTTATGTATTAATTTTCATGTTCTTTGGCTCTTCCCCTAGGGCAGAGACCATCTTGTTTTATTTACCCACGTGCATTCAGAACCTAGAACAGTGCTGGCACAAGGTAAATGTTCAAAAACTGCTTGCTAAGTGATGGCAGGAGTGAATGGTGTTAGGGTAGCTGATCCTTAAATTGGGCAGTCTTTGTGGCGTGTAAGTAAATGACAGTGCAGGCCAGATGTGGTGGCTCATGCCTGTAATCTCAGCATTTTGAAAGGCTGAGGCATGAGGATCACTTTAGACCAGGAGTTTGAAACCAGTCTGGGTAACGTGGCAAAATCCCATCTCTACAAAAAAAATTTTTAAATTATCCAGGCATGATGGTATGTTCTTGTAGACTCAGTTACTCAGGAGGTTGAGGTGGGAGGATCACCTGAGCCCAGGGAGGTCAAGGCTGCAGTGAACTGTGTTCACACCACTGCACTCCAGCCTGGCGACACAGAGTGAGACCCTATCTCCAAAAAAAAAGACAGCGTTCTCATTTTCCTCGACATCTGCATGTAGGTAGAATCCAGGTCAGAGTTAACACGAAGGACCCAAGGACCAACTCTCTTGCCTACTGACAGGAGGGGAATTCTGGGCTGCCTCTATGGAAATGAACCCAGGTCAATTCAGCCCCTGCTCTCTCCTCTCTGCCACGGAAGCCCCTAGTCAGCTGGGGGCAATGCTGGGTGGGGGAGGTCATGCTGGGGCTGGCCCCACTTTGCGCTGCCAGCAGCGCTGGCTGGCTCCCATCAGATATATGTGAGCTCTTGGCAAGCAAGAGGGAAGAGAGCTTGGCAAGAACGAAGTCTGACTTCACCCCCTCCCCTCCAGACTTGCAGGCTGCTGAGGCACGCCAGCTGGGACTGGGCTAAAGAGACCATTATTTGTCATCTAATAATCAGGTGTCTGGGGCAGGTTATTTCTCAGCAGGTTGAAAAACAGGTCACCCATGATATTGTGTTTCTCCTTTGGCCTTTCTGACAGCAAGTTCACCCAGAGGCCTGGCTGACCTCGTTCTTTTAAGGGGACCCTAGAAGTATAGATAAGCACCAGCCTCATGGGTGCCCTTCTGTATCCTTGGCTTGCCTGTTTTTTTCTTCATGTCATCCTTTGTTTATGAATTGTGGGACTTTTTTTTTTCTTGAGATGGAGTCTCGCTCTGTCACCAGGCTGGAGTGCAGTGTCACCAGGTTCAAGCGATTCTCCTGCCTCGGCCTCCCCGGTAGCTGGGACTACAGGTGCCTGCTACCACAGCCAGCTAACTTTTGTATTTTTAGTAGAGACAGTGTTTCGCCATATTAGCCAGGCTGGTCTTGAATAACTAACCTCAGGCGATCTGCCCTCCTTGGCCTCCCAAAGTGCTGGGATTACAGACATGAGCCACCACACCCAGCCTATGAACTGTGAGATTTCTGAGAACTGTTATTAGGGCAAATAAATGGAGCCAGGAGGCTCTTCACTTTGGCTTCAGCAGAACCCATTGCAGTCCAGATTGGGCCACTCTTTGGAATTTCTGAATGGTATGAATCCGGAGGAGGGAACAATGTTCTGCTTGTTGTCATGAGCCCTCATCTCAGAGACGTTTACATCATGGGCCTGCACATTTGGAGATGCTGGTCATGTTTTCCCACCGGTGTGATGGGTTTGGATGGTCTTGACTTGTCCTCACATTTCCCCATCTTTTATTTATTTATTTATTTATTTATTTTTGAGACGAAGTCTCACTCTGTCGCCTAGGCTGAAGTGCAGTGGCATGATCTTGGCTCACTGCAACCTCCGCCTCCCAGGATCAGGAAATTCTCCTGCCTCAGCCTCCTGAGTAGCTGAGATTACAGGCGTGAGCCACCACGCCAGGCTCCATCTTTTATTTTTTGAAAAGAAAACTAGGACAGTTTATTGGTCACTTACTATACTTTAGGCACAGTATTTGGCATACTTTCCAAAACGATCTCATTTCACTTACATTCAGATCATTTCAGGATATATTATCCTTTTTATATATACATAAGAAGATGGAGGTTCAGAAAAGTGGAATAAATTTACTAAGTCCTCTCAGCTCAGAGGCTAAGTGAGAATTTGAACACAGGATGTCTGGCTCCTAAGCCTGTATGTTCTGCCCATTCAAGGCCCACAAGGCATGGGAAGGCTGGAACAAATTACAGGGAAGCCTGACTTCATTGCTTCTCAGTATGATCTAATGCTGAAGCGTGTTTAGCTTGTTTGCTTTTCCTGGGGAAAAACAGAGGGAAGGAAGAGAGGTAGAGTAAAAATATATTTTTTTGCTGGGGATCCAATCTGTTCTCAGCATCCCATCCGGACAATCTGAGCCTCTTTAAGTAGGCCACCTTGTCACACTGTGACCGAGAAAAGGTGAAGCTGGTAGGGGCTAACCCCAGGTTGGCCTAGAAGTGGTGCTCCCAATGAGCTGAGGGGTCTGCATAATTGGGTAAGATAGCCACACTTCTTCAGTCCCGCCCAAGAATATCTATGGGAATAAAATCAAAGTTAGCCTGTGTCCATGTCTCCTGCCCTGTGAGACAGAACTCCTAAAGCAGTGCCTTGTCTTCCAGACCAATTACTTTGTCTCCCCAACCTCTCTGCAGCTGCCCTGGCCTCTACTTTCTGGGACGGGGCCTCTGCTCTGGGGGCATCCATAGCCCAGCTTCAGGAAGGTGACTGCTTCCTGGTTTGAGATGTATTATTAAACTGTAATCATACTGTGCATGGAGTCAGCCAAAGCAGTGGCTATTAATAGGGAGGTGAAGAAAGCTGACTCAGAAGGAAGCTGACTTAGGCTGGAAGGGAGAGCCCGGCCACCTTGGCCTATAATTCTCAGCAGGTGGTCAGTGAGAGAGACCTGAGCTCGCTTCGTTCCTGGGCATGAGTTAGCATTATCTGGATTTCTCAACTTGGGAAATAGAAGCCCGGAGCAGTCCCTATCAAAGGGATCTTGAGTTGTCTTTCCCAGGTCCTTGGGGAGTCTCCGAGCCCTGAGTACTGACAGCTTAAATAGCTATGACTCAGCAGAGCGGCAACTCTTCCCTCCCGATGTCATCAGTAGATGAGACTTGGAAAGGGGCACTGGGACTCCACTTTTGTGACCTCCCTCAGCTGAGAAGCCAGTGCTGATCCAGCCCTTAGCTGGCCAAACAACCCATTGGCAGAGACACCCAAATAGGGAGATTCTGTTTCTGGCTCCTTGGAGGTGGCCATTTTCATTCTGGGTGAAGGGCCACAGTAAATGAAGGGCTGGGTGTAGAAGGGCCTCATGCTGTGGGGAAAGGGACCTTTTTTAGCAATTTCTGTCAATGTCATGCATTTCTCAGGGAGTTCATACTTTAGCCATCTGGTAGGCTCCCCATCAGGCAGCTGGAAGCAGGTCAGATCCCTGAATCTGGCCCAGGATATGCCCTAGAGAAACAGGACGGTCCTTGGATGCACAATATCCCTCCCTCTGCAGCAGCCACCGGCCACAGCTTTCACACATGCTGCTTCAGCTCATTCTCACCAACCCCAGCAGGTGGGTGGAATCAACCCTTAGCAAGGAAAACAGATTCCAAAAAGGTGTTGAAGCGAGTTGGTCACACAGCTAGCAGGTGATGACGGGACTAAAACGTCAGTCTGGCAGGCATGATGAACTGCCCTGTGCCCGGGCACCTGCCCGTCTGAGCCACTTCCACCCAGACCCAGGTGTCCCTGACTTTGTCGCTACCCCACTGCTCACACTGAGGCCAGGGTGGTGAAGATCTGGGCGTGTGTTGGGTAGGGGGTGCTGAGAGGTTGGGGGAGCGCTGTGTCATCCTCTCGCCTTTCAGGTGGGTCGGGATGCTGAGGTATGTCTTCTCAAACTGGAAGATTTATTTTGGTTCCTGGATCTCTGTGGAAGGAGGTTCGAATGGAGGTAGGATGTGGGAGGTGTTTTCTCTTTCTCCCTAAAAATACTTATTAAGCACCTCTGGGTTTCAGCTCTGGGCAGCCTGGGTGCTTTCAGATTCTAGAACAATTTCATGACACCCTGGATCTCGTATTTTTCTCTGCTGTTTTTCACACAGTCTTAATATAGTTTTACCTGATAAGAACTATCCACATGTGTATATCTTTTTAGAGTTATAAAATAGCATAATCTACATACTGAAATGTACCTAGAAAATATCTTTTTTACAGAATAAAGGGTCTGTTAAGGAATGACTTTTCTTCCACTGATTGTCATATGGATCAATTCCTGAACCTGAAAGAGATTCTGAAACTCCAGATGCTGGGTCCTGAGTGCTAGCAAGCACCTGAGGGAAGAATTTTCAACCCCCAGCTGCTAGGGGCTCTTAGTGCAGAAGCAGGACCAGACCAGGCTTTTGGGAATTTGTTCGTCATTTTATAGCTGTATCATGGCCTATCCGGAGAGGGAGGGCCGGAAAGTAATTTCCTGATTGTCAGCCTCCTGGCTATTGTTTTGGGGTCTTGTGTACCCTTCTGGTCAACTCTTTTCTGCCTTTAGCTATAACAAGCAACAGGATGGTCCAGCATCCAGATTCAGAAAGCTGCCCCCTCTCACTGAGTCAAAGTTAATTAATTTTCACTGTACCTTGAACTAGGTCAGCTGCAGGACTGTGCTGGGCCTAACCTGCTGTCAGGGAAGGGCATTTCTCGTCTATCTCGATGTGCTGTCCTGGGCAGAGAAAGTGGGAAGGGGGTAGTTTTCACCTTTGCGTGGGATCACCTCTCCTCCTTTCTTGCGAGGAGGTGACCATTTTCAGATCTGTGGGTGGGGAGGAAAATCTTCTCTTCCAAAAATAATCTCTCTGCAGTGGGGTTTGAAGCCGGACCAAGCTGCTAGTGCTATTTTTACCCAGCTTGCAGTTCAGGGTGTAAATAGCAACTCTGGCTGTTTTTTCCCACAGCTGACAACAGAGTCAACCTCTTCAAGGCAGGAGCATTCTGGCATTTCGCACAGAGGAAACAGAACAAAATTTGCCCTCGGGCCCCGTTGATGATTCCTGGACCATGGGGTCAGTATCCAGACAGAGGTGGCATCTCTACGGTTCTGTTATCTCGGTCTCCGCTATAATCACCAGGCCCCACAATAGCTGCTGGGCTGAGGCTCATTTAAAGAAGCTTCCTGCGGAATAATGAGGGAAAGGCAGGTCTGTAAATTCCCGCCTGCACCCGCCCAGGGTTCCAGAAGCATGAGCAGCTCTAGGCTCCAGCTGGCTGTCCCCCTTGCCCTTTCTCTTGAATTAGCAGGCACTTCCTCTAAGGCTACTGGCCTAGGAGGGTTTCTTGCAAACCCACTGGTCTGAGGGAACACAGAGAAGACATCCTCTCAAGGCTGCCCAGATGACAGCATGTCTCTAAAAATATGCCTCCTGGTTTTTGAGTGATTGAAGGCCCCACAGCCTTTACCACTGGAGTCATTTGGAGCTCGTGGTGAAAGGACTGGCTTCCTCCTTGCCACCATTGAAGCAGAAGGTGCGAGAAAGTACCCAAAGCTTGGGGCCGTGTCTCTAATAGGCATGGGTCAGTGGGAAGTTCAGCCTCACAGAAGGCCCCTTGCTGGTGCTGTTCAGGAGGACGTTGAAGTAGCAAAGCTGAGATTCGCCCATCATGGTGAGCAATTCTCTCTTGCTTCTCTTCTGGGGAATGAACAGGCTTCATTTGCTTTTCCCTGAGGCCAGGTTTCTTACCCAAGTCTGTCTCTGGAGCCTTTGGCCTGAAATAAGAAAGGAGTTTTGAGTCAGCAGGAGAGCCATGCTTCACTATGAATTACACAGCAACCCCTTCCCCTGGCTACACATCAATCAATCGAAGTATTTCTCAAATATCTACCCCCGTGCCCAGAACTGGGCATTTAGGTACATGGTTCAAGTTTCAGATTCTTCCAGCAAATGAATTTGTATGGGGTAAGAAAAAGGATCGGAGGTCAGATAGGCAGCCGAGTAACCCCCAACTCTGCCTTTTTAAAAGTGGTTTCAGTTGCGCCTCCTTGGAATTGATTCTGGGCAGCTGTTAATTGCAAAACTCACTGCCAATTATCGATAGCTAAAGTGGCATTGGAGAGCTTCTCATGGTAAAAATAGGGGCAGGTAATGGATGAGAAAATAGCTTTACATTTGAGAAGAGAGGATGGAAACCCATTGTCTCAATCTGCTGCGTTTGAGCTTTCCTTTGTCAGCTTGGGTTCTCTCCCAAGACTGGCTGCAAAGTCTGCCTAGTGACCTCCAGCAAATAGCAAGCTACTTGGGATTAGAGCAAAACTTGTCCTGGCAGCAAGAACAGAGAGGATCCCTGCTGGGTTCAGGGCATCCTGGTTCTCACCAGGCTCCAATACAAGTTTTCAGGAAAACCCATGTTGAAATGTAAATGTACTTTTGGCTAATCTGGTGGCGGGCGGAGGGGCGGTGGGGGGATTATGATTGTCTAATTCTGCTGGTAGTTTGTGCACCAAACTTCAAATCTACAAACAATGGTTATTCAAGGAAGTTTCTTGAAGCCTAGATGATACATGTTTACCTTAAAAAGAAAAACAAGTTGGGCCCGGTGGCTCGTGCCTATAATCTCAGCACTTTGGGAGGCCAAGGTTGGCTGATTGCCTGAGGTCAGGAATTACCAAAAATACAAAAATTAGCCTGGCATAGTGACAGGCACCTGTAATCCCAGCTACTCAGGAGGCTGAGGCAGGAGAATCACTTGAACCCGGTAGATGGAGGTTGTAGAGAGCCACTGCATTCCAGCCTGGGCGACAAGAGTGAAACTCTGTCTCCAAAAAAAAAAAAAAGCAAAACAAAAAAATTCTGAAAAACAGAAACAGGAAAAAGTGCCCTGGTGAGTAAAACCAAAAGCATGTGGCAGACAGACACAATGCAGGCTGACTGTTTTGAACAATGCTCGCGGCCCCAGCCTTGACACCGGGGAAACTGGGAACGGGGTCGCAGACTTCCTATGTCAAGTGTTTCCCTGGATTTCCTGGAATCCAACTTAAAGTGCCATTTCCCCTGGTGCCACCAAGGAGTTAAACTTTGGTTCTGTTCTCCTGGTGACTAAGAATGCACTGTGTGGCTCTGAGATCATCCAGAAAGAAGCTGACAGTCGGCGTGGGAAGTGTGTGAGCTTTCAGTGCTCCTGAAATGCCTTTGATGGGCATGGTAAGAGAGCAAAAGGCTTATTGCCACCTAGTGCCCCTGATTGTGTAATTTCATCGTGAATTCTTGTTTCTTCTTTTGAATTTTGCATAATTTTAAATGAAGATCTCTAATCCTTGGGGAGCTTCATACTGTGTGTGTGAGTTATTCTATGGAGCTATTCTATGTGGGCTCTTCTATATTTTAGGCGGCAAACGTATCCCACCGCTTGGAAATATCACCCATTTTGACTGAAAACAAAGTAGAATCGATTGACCTGACCAAAGCGCACGTGGTGTGTGAGGGAGACTGTTTTCTTTCTTCTGGACTCCTTTGGAGTCCAAATTGCATAACACCCTTGGCTTCTCTCCACCTGCCCCCTCTTCCCTGAGAAGGAGGAGTGGTTTAATATGACGGGTGAGTTTGGAAGGAGAAACTGCCATATATTTTCCTCTCTTCTTTTCTTCTTGGGAGCAAACTTTGCTCCCGAGTGTGGGAAGAGGAGACCCATTCCAGCCCAGCTGGCTGTCATTGAGCCACCAAGTCTGTCTAATTCTGAAGTTGAGTATCAGGAAGCTTGTTTGTCTGATGATAAGCCACATTCTCTAATGTCAGTTTTATCAGTAGAAAAGGTTATTTTTGGTCCTCATCTAGCTTGCTGCTATCTTCTGATTCCATTCAAAATTCACAGAGAAAGGAGCAGACTGCTATTCGGAGGCCTCCTCAAAGACCCCAACATATTTACTGTGAGATTTGCTGTGATTAGACAAACCCAGTGTTGGGGTAAGGTCCGACTTCTAGATCCACATCATCACTTTCTTATAGAACACCAGATTCCTCAGCTGTCAGCTGAGTAAAAGGGAGTTTATGGGTGTTCCTTGCGGCTAAAATGCATCCATTCAAAAGCTATTTATTGAATCCTTACTATGCGCTAGGGGACACATAGGTGATCAAAAGAAACAGTCTTGGGCTGGGTGTGGTGGCTCACGCCTGTAATATCAGCGCTTTGGAAGGCGGAGGTGGGTAGATCGCTTGAGGTCAGGAGTTTGAGACCAACCTAGCCAACGTGGTGAAACCCCATCTCTACCAAAAATATAAAAAATTAGCCGGGCGTGGTGGTGCACATCTGTAGTCCCAGCTACTTGAGAGGCCGAGGCACAAGTATTGCTTTGAACCTAGGAGGCAGAGGTTGCAGTGAGCTGGGATCACACCACTGCACTCCAGCCTGGGTGACAGTAGTGAAACTCTGTTTCAAAAAAAAAAAAGAGACACAATCTCCGCTGTCACACAGTTTATACTCTAACTAGGGTGTATCAGTTTAAAAGTTTAATGTTTCAAGTGAAAAAAAACAACCTCAAATAGGCTTGAGTAATACAGGAATTTATTGTCTTCCTGGAGATCCAGGCACAATCTGATCCAAGATTCAGACGGCATGGATCCATTTCTTGGCTCTGCTTCCACTGAGTTGGATTCGTTCTTTAGCCACCACATGTTGGAACCCCTCTCTCCTGGCAGCTTCAAGCTTTCCACGACGGCTGCAGCAGATCTAAGACATACCATTTACCAGGCTGACAAGAGTCCAAGTTCCAGTAGTCCCTGGAGGTCCCCCCTGACAAGGCCGTCTCAGGTTATAGACCAGCACAAATCATGAGCTCACAGGACAGAAGACACTGATTGGCTCACACCCAGTGGGGCCCACCCCCCAATATGGGAGAGTTGGGCCCTTTCCACTTCCAGAAATTTGGGCACCGATTTGGAAGGGAGAAAGGGCCACAACCAATAACTGTTCATGACAGAAGGAAACAATAATAAATAAGCTTATACTTCTGCTCTGAGGGAAGCATTCAGCCTGCAGAAAATGGAGACATCTCATTACTACCTGGCGAGTCAAACACAGGCCTGGGGATCCAGAGATTTATTTGGATTCCAAATTCTGTGTGGGCCCCCATACACAGCTGACCCTCAGGCACATTGCAGAGGTTGATACATGATACACTTTACTTCTTGATTGGCCCCTCAGTAGTTGCCCTTGGGTTGTATTCTTGTGCTGTGTGATCGCTTTTCCCTTATTTATTTATTTATTTATTTATTTATTTATTTATTTATTTGGGATGGAGTCTCACTCTGTTGCCCAAGCTGGAGTGCGGTAGTATAATCTGGGCTCATTGCAACCTCCACCTCCTGGGTTCAACCAATTCTCCTGCCTCAGCCTCCCGAGTAGCTGGGACTACAGGTGTGTGCCACCACGCCCAGCTAATTTTTGTATTTTTAGTAGAAATAGGGTTTTGCTATGTTGGCCAGGCTGGTCTCGAACTCCTGGCCTCAAGTGATCCACCCACCTCTCCCTCCCAAAGGGCTGGGATTAGAGGCGTGAGCCACCACAGAGGATAGCATGTGCCTGAGAGAGATCTAAAAGGATGGCTGAGATGATACTCACAAAGCACATGGTGCAAGTCACCAAATAAACCTAAGCTGTCTGTTGGCGTGTGTTCATTATTCTTTCAGATTTAAGGACATTCAGCTGGTAATTTAGGGGCTAAACATTAACCACAGTGGGTCAGGCCAGCACAACAGGAGCTGTGAGCCATGAAGATACACAGTCCTTCAGTGTTCTAAATTCAACAGACCTGTGTGAAAAAACATATAACCCAAATGGATTGAAGATGGACAGAAATGCAGTCAGACATGCAGGGTAGAGAGGGTGCTCCAGCTAAGACCTTGGCCAGTTCTTTTTTTTTTTTTTTTTTTTAATTGAGATGGAGTTTCGCTCTTGTTACCCAGGCTGGAGTGCAATGGTGCGATCTTGGCTCACCACAACCTCCGCCTCCTGGGTTCAGGCAATTCTCCTGCCTCAGCCTCCTGAGTAGCTGGGATTACAGGCATGTGCCACCAGGCCCAGCTAATTTTTTGTATTTTTAGTAGAGACAGGGTTTCACCGTGTTGACCAGGATGGTCTCGATCTCTCTCTTTTTTTTTTTTTTTTGATACGGAGTTTCGCTCTTGCTACCCAGGCTGTAGTGCAATCGCGTGATCTCGGCTCACCGCAACCTCCGCCTCCTGGGTTCAAGCAATTCTTCTGCCTCAGCCTCCTGAGTAGCTGGGACTACAGGCTGCGCCACCATGCCCAGCTAAATTTTGTGTTTTTAGTAGAGACGGGGTTTCACCATGTTGACCAGGATGGTCTCGATCTCTTGACCTCATGATCCACCTGCCTCAGCCTCCCAAAGTGCTGGGATTACAGGCTGAGCCACCGCGCCCGGCCCCTTGGCCAGTTCTTAAGAGGCACAGGTACTTGCTGAGCAACTTGACATACCAGTGGTGCCTGAGCAATCCTTTATTTCTTCATCAGCAAATATTTTTTTGAGCATCTTCTATACTAGAAGCTACAATAAAAACACACAATCAGTTTATGAGGCAGGCACTTACATCTTTTTTAGAATAAAGAAGGAAACTCCCTCTATAAATAGGTAAATTATTATAAAAATTATATGCAAGGTTAAAATGAACTACAGATCTACTATTATACAAGAGACAGAAAAGAGAAAACTAGTTTCATTATTTGGGTGGAGGCTGGAGAAGAAGTGGGCTATACCTGGGATAGAACGAGCTGACTTTGTGTTGAATCATAAACAAATATACAGGGCTAAGTGGAGAGATGGCAATCAATTATACAAAGTCTTTTTTGGTTGCTCAAAGAAATCTGACCCAATCCTCTGAATGCCCTATAGGAGCAGTTTATTTGCACCTCGCCTACTGCTCTTATTCTAACTTGTATCACAGTCGGTTATTTATTCATTCAATTATTTGGTTACTCACTCATTGAACATTGATGCAAGGCTTGATATGTGCCAAGTGTTGTGTGGTTTCTGTAGCTCAGTCTAGGAGGGGAGGAGGCATATAAAAAATAAGTATAACCTGAGCACAGTGGCTTCCACATGTAATTCCAGCACTTTGGGAGGTCAAGGTGAGAGGATTACTTGAGGCCAGGAGTTGGAGGTTGTGGTACACTATGATTGTGCTGCTGCATTCTAGCCTGAGTGACAGAGCAAGATCTTGTCTCTAAAAGAAAAAAAATTCTAACATGAGAGGTTCTGTAATAGAAGTATGCCCTGAGTGCTTAGAGGTAAAGTCTTCACAAAGGAGGTAATATTTGAGTATATCTTGACAATAACAGGAGGTTCCTAGGCCGAATTTCCAGAGTAGCTGGAAAGCCCCTGAAAGAGGAGCCAGAATGGTGTGTGAGGAATGGTAAGTGGTTTGGTATCTGGGAATCTTTGGGTATGTAGGGAGAGTGTTAGCAGAGGAAGCTGAAAAGGTAAGTCACACAGAGCTTTGTAGAACTTGCTATGGGCTTTGAACTTTATAGACAAAAGGATTTATTGAAGAATTTTAAGTAAATGATTGACAAGATCAGGTTTGGGATTTAGAATGACATCTGGCAGCAGTCTGAAGGAAAAGTGGTAGTGGGGAAGTCCAAGAAATCAACAGGGAGGCTATTTCAATAATCTAGGTGGGAAGTGACATCTTGATGATTGAAAAAGAGGGAACAGAATGGGTTCAAGGAAGAACTGAGAGACTAAATCAACAAGGCTTGGTTACTGGTTAGAAGGAAGATGATGTAGGAAAAGAAGGCATTAAGAATGACTTGGGGCTGGGCACGGTGGCTCATGCCTGTAATTCCAGCACTTTGGGAGGCTGAGGTGGGTGGGTCCTTTAAGCCCATGAGTTCAAGACCAGCCTGGGAAACATGGCTGAAACCTCATCTCTACAAAAAATGCAAAAAATTAGCCAGGCATGGTGGCATGTGCCTGGAGTCCCAGCTACATGGGAGGCTGAGGTGGGAGGATCACCTGAGCCCAGGGGGTTGATGCTGCAGTGCACCATGATTGAGCCACTGCACTCTACCCTGGGTGGCAGAGTGGGACCCTGTCTCAAAAAAAATTAAAATAAAAAAAGAATGACTTAGAGGTCACTACTAGCCCATGCAACTGAGGAAACAAAGGTATTACTCACCACAGTAGAGAACAGAAGAACAGGAGGAAAGATAAAGACAGGATAATGACATGCTGTGTTTAAGATGCTCACATGACATTCAAGTGGACAAGCCCCACTGACAATTGAAAATCTCTGCCTAGAGTTAATGAGAGAGCTGCAGGCTGGAGATGGAGCTGAGAATACATAGGTGCCGTGGCTATGGACATAAAGGGCACACACCCACCAAGTACAGCTGGAAAGTGAGAAGATAAGAGACACCAGCACAGACCCCACAGAGCACTAACATAAATGGATTGATCAAAGAGGAGCCAGAAAAGGAAAGTAAAAAGAGGTCTCCAGAGAAAAGCCAGGAGCACTGGCCAACACCTTAGAAGGCACAGGAGATAAGAGAAAGAGGAGGCAGTCAAGTAGGTCAGAGCTGGTGAAAATTCTAGTGTAGCATTTGTGACATTTCCCCATTAAAGAGCAAAGCCTGTGACAGTAGGAACTCCTGGCATGGTACTTTGTATAAAGCAGGCAGTCCATGTGCCACAGTCTATAGATAGATGTACAGATGTACCAACTTGGAGACTGCTAGTGACTGCTAGATGCCCAGAGACCTCAGATCTGGAGACACTGCAATTTTAAAGTGTTATGTTAGGGTCAAATTAGCAATAAAAACAGCACAATATGAAAAGAGAGTCTAGCTTTCCTCAAATTCCATTAAAAACTACTGCTACCACCTTGTGTATTTCTTTGTATTTGGTCTTCAGGAGAAGCACTATAAAATGAGGAAGCTGGGGGAATATAATTTATCAGAACAGGGGAGTTTAGTTGCAGTTGCTGGAAAACAGAAATTGGTGTCAATGTATTTGGCCTTTACAAAAGTCATTCTGAGGGCAATGTCGTCATCATCTTCTTTTCTATTTTTTTCATCTCATTCTGTTGCCCAGGCTGGAATGCAGGGACATGGCTTTGGCTCACTGTAACCTCCACCTCCCAGGTTCAAGCAATTCTCATGCCTCAGCCTCCTGAGTAGCTTGGGACTACAGGCACACACCACCATGGCCAGCTAATTTTTTTGTATTTTTAGAAGACACAGGGTTTTGCTATATTGGCCAGGCTAGTCTGGAACTCCTGACCTCAAGTGATCCACCTGCCTCAGCCTCCCAAAGTATTGGGATTATGGGCGTGAGCCAGCACCCTATCAGCAATGTCTTCTTTAAATGTCATACAATGTTACAGTTATTTTCATTTGCCCATTCTTTCAACATTGAGCACCTCATATGTTCGAGACACCATGCTAGGAACAAAAGATATCTTTCCATCCCTCAAGGAGCTCACAGTTCAGTGAGGGACATAGACAGGGGAATACAATGGAAATATACTGAGAAGTGCTGTGCCAGAGGTAAGCGCTGCGTGCACATGAAGACAGAGAAAGACAACCTAACTCAGAGGGCAGCAAATGAGGGCAGTGGCATGAAGTCTTTCCAGAAGAGGCAACACTTGCCAGGGGTTACAAGGAGGGGACAAGCTTCCAGATAAAGGAAACAGCAACTGTAAACATAAGAAAGAATAGGATTCAATATGGCTGAACACAGAGTACAAGGAGGGAAAGAGCCAGAGATGAGCTGAGTGGGCAGGGACCTCATCAGACCCGGGAAGCCCTTAGAAGGATTCAGAGCTTGAGCCTAAAAGCAAGGAGGAGATGCTGAATGATTATGTTAGAGGACTTCAAAGGAAGTCCTTTGCTTTTCATATTTTCTTATTTCCTATTCTGTTTCTCCTGCCTCCCTCCCTCCCTCCCTCCCTCCCTCCCTCCCTCTCTCTCTTTCTTTATCTCCCTCCTTCTCTTTCTGTCTCTCTTTCTCTCTGAAATTGCAGCTGATCTGGTCTATACCTAAACAGGATAAGTGCAAGACATTTATTTACAGTTTGTCTATGCTTGGGGCAGAGAAAAGACAGAGCTGATCCCTGAAACCTGACTTTTGATGTCGGTAAGTAACAAAATGAGAGGATCCAGGAACAATTCCTGTTTCCCACATACTTTCTTTCCATCCAAATCTGGAGATTTTAATGTGTTTGATTTTAATGAGGAGACTGTTACGTCCAAGGTGTGGACAGGAACCCACCCTTTTTTTCTTGCCAAACACGCAAGGAAAGGAATCTTAATTACAGAGAGGTCTACACTCTTGCTACTTGAAACTGGGTCCCTGGACCTGTAGCATCAGCATCCCTGGGAACTGGTTACACAGACAGAAATCTGAAGCCCCACCCCAAACATACAGAATCTGCGTTTTAAACAAGATGCCTGGGTGATTCCCATACACATTCAGGTTTGAAAATCCCTGATCTACAAGATAGGAAAACTGCCTAGTTGGTAAAACTTAGGGCACTGTGTTGCAATCTGTGTTTTGTTTTGCATGACTGATTGATGAGTAATCAGTTTGTCAGCCTCTATGATTACTAATTTATGTCCAACAGCACACTCAGTCAGGGGCTAAGCCCACTCTACTCTACTGATCATTTCTAAGAAATCTCCACAGAGCCCACAGTACTGTGATCCCATTTAAATAAAGGACTTGCTCTCTGACTGATGAGTAAAAGATTCATTCTTTTTTTTTTTTTTCCTATTGTGGCCAAATGTACATAACATACATTTACTATTTTAACCATTTTTAAATGTACAGTTCAGTGGATGAAAGACATTCCCACAGTTTTGCAACCATCACTACATTCCACCTCTAGAGTGTTTTCATCTTCCCAAACAGAAACTCTACACATGAAACAATAACTCCCCATTACCCGCTCCCTCCAGCCCGTCAACCTCATTCTACTTTTTGTCTCTATGAACTTGACTACTCCACATACTTCATCGAAGTGGAATCATACTAGACTCGCTTTTCTGTGATTGTCTTATTTCACTTAGCATAACGTTGTCAAGTTTCATCCATGTTGTGGCATATGTCAAAATTTTCTTCCTTTTGAAGCTGGATATTTTGCTGTATGTATCTAGCATATTTTGTTTACCATTCATCCATCAATGGACCTTGAGTGGCTCCCACCTTTTGGCTACTATGAGTAATGCTGTTACAAACACGCGTGTAGAAAGCTTCATTTGTAGGCAGAGGCCGAGGCAGGCAGATCTCTTGAGGTCAGGAGTTCAAGACCAGCCTGGCCAACATGGTGAAACCCTGTCTCTACTAAAAATTTAAAAAAAAAAGCCAGATGTGGTGGCAGGGGCCTGTAATCCCAGCTACTCAGGAGGCTGAGGTGGGAGAATCACTTGAACCCTGGAGGCAGAGGTTACAGTGAGCTGAGATCATGCCACGGCATTCTAGCCTGGGCAACAAGAGCAAAACTCCGTCTCAAAAAAAAAAAAGTCTTCATTTATGCTGGGCATGCAGGTCCCCTCTTCCAGTTTACCAGCGTTATTTTCTAGAGAGATGCCACAACAAACATAAAATTCACAGTTAATGGATGCTCTCAATGGATTCTCTCTCTCTCTCTGTGTGTGTGTGTGTGTGTGTGTGTGTGTGTATAACTTTTTTTTGTAAGTAGAGGCAGGGTTTTACCATGTTGCCCAGGCTGGTCTCAAACTCCTGAGCTCAAGTGGTCTGCCCACCTCGGCCTCCCAAAGTGCTGGGATTACAGGCATGAGCCTCAATGGATTTTCTTTACTATATCAAGTCTCTAGTTGACTCCTCATTAAGTAAAGAGAATTTGCTGTTGTTGGGTGCAAAATGTTGCATTTAGTCTCCGTCCGGGAGTTGTGTCCTCCTGAATATAAACTCAGAGTCAGAGCCAAGAGTTTAATTTGTGCAACACAAGTATTGATTGGGTGACACCATTGTCTTCCCCAATGCTATTCCTATCAACCCAAATGATCTGTGTGAATAGAGAAATCATTTTTTTCCGGGTGTGTTGGTGACAGGCTGCTTGCTGATAGGCTCTGACAGATGAGCACTTGGCTGCTGTTGGGCAGTCAACACTGTCCTTGCTAGGGCGTTGCTGGGCAAAGAACCTGCGGCCCTGGAGCTGATAAGCATACCCCACCTCAGCAGTCCCAGGGCTCCATGCTGAGTTCAGCAACCCACAGCAGAGCTCAGACAAGGGAAGAGGCTCTCAGCTTCTGGCAGCTTCTGGGTGAACTATTCTTTTTTTTTTTGAGACAGGGTCTTGCTCTGTCACCCATGTAGCATGATCTGGCTCACTGCATCACTGCAGCCTCAGTCTTCCGGCTCAAGCGATCTTCCTGCCTCAGCCTACTGAGTAGCTAGGACCACAGGTGTGTGCCACCATGCCTGGCTGATTAACAAAACTTTTTGCCATATGTATCTAGCATATTTTGTTTCTCATGCATCCATCAATGGACACTTGAGTGGCTCCCACCTTTCAGTAGGACATAGAGACAGGGTCTCCCTATGTTGCTCAGGTTGGTGTTGAACTAGGCTTATGCAATCCTCTCACTTCAGCCTCCAAAGGTGCTGGGATTACAGGCATGAGCCACTGTGACTAGCCTGGGTGAACTCTTCTAAAGAATTATATAGGCCAGGCGTGGAGGCTGACGCCTTAATCCCAGCACTTTGGGAAGCTGAGGCAGGGAGATCACAAGTTCAGGAGTTTGAAACCAGCTTGGTCAATATGGTGAAACCCCATCTCTACTAAAAATACAAAAAAATTAACCGGGTGTGGTAGCGGGTGCCTGTAGTCTCAGCTACTCAGGAGGCTGAGGCAGGAGAATCACTTGAACCCAGGAGGCAGAGGTTGCAGTGAGCCAAGACTGCACCATTGCACTCCAGCCTGGGCGACAGAGCAAGACTCCGTGTAAAAAAAAAAAAAAAAAAAAAATTATATAAAGGGTATTATCTGGAATCTCCTTTCCTCGTGTTGCTTCAGGAAGCTATGGGGATTGTGTGCTTTTTCCCTCAGGCACCCAGAGGCCGCTCTGACACTCTCCACTTCATCCCACATTTTACCTCTGGGACAACTCTTTAGGTTGCCAGATGTGTGCAAAGATGAGAAGGATACAATCACACCAGCTCATTTGGGAAATACACGCTGAGACTCTGATTTCATCTTCTCTGTGGAATGACTCTTGCTTTGCAAACTAAAGCTGGGTGTCAAGGCAGGAACTACTGCAGGTTCCCTATTTCCATGTTAACTTTGGCCCTCAAGGATGATTAACTTTAGAAACTGAAAACGCATTTGGGCTAATCATTTAGGAGATCTGACTAAGAGCTTTACAGAGAAGATTTGCACCACTGTTAAGAAAGGCGCTAGCAATTCAGGAGAATGCACATGTAAGGGATTTCCTTTTACCGGATTAGAAAGAAGAGCCAGAAAACACAGCTGAAGGCACACAAGAGAGGAAGAGGTGAAGACCTGCTGGTAGGAATCCAAAGAAAAGAGTTTGTATGTTGGTGAACACATCTGAAGAAGTCCCACAAGAACCACTGTCTAAAATGTAACGTGACAAAATAACGTGTGTGCAGCCACATTAACAGGTGACGTGTGTGTAGCTGCAAGGATTTAATGAAAGTCTGGAAACATGCATACAAGAATTAAGTATTTGTAGGTCGCTGTATAGAATTTACAATTTGCCTCCTCCCAGATTTGTCCTGCTCTGTCCACTTGGAATGCCCTTCTCTGTCCTTTCCTTCCCCATTAATACATGCTTATCACCTTATTCCAGAGCCAAGTGAAGTCTCACCACCTGTAGGAAGACTGCCCAGACTGACCCCTCTTAACTGTAAACATTCTATTTTATTTTATTTCTTTTTTGAGACAGAGTTTCACTCTGTCGCCCAGGCTGGAGTGCACTGGCACAATCTGGGCTCATTCAGCCTCCAGAGGCAACTTCCGCCTCCCGGGTTTAAGTGATTCTCCTGCCTCAGCCTCCTGAGTAGCTGGGATTGCAGGTGCAGGCCACCACGCCTGGCTAATTTTTTTTTTTTTTTTTTGAGACGGAGTCTTGCACTGTTGCTCAGGCTGTAGTGCAGTGGCATGATCTCGGCTCACTGCAATCTCCACCTCCTGGGTTCAAGCAATTCTCCTGCCTCAGCCTCCCAAGTAGCTGGGGCTACAGGCATGCACCACCACACCCAGCTAATTTTTTTTTTTTTTTAATTTTTAGTAGAGATGGGGTTTCACCATGTTGGCCAGGATGGTCTCAATCTCCTGACCTCATGATCCGCCCACCTCAGCCTCCCAAAGTGCTGGGATTACAGGCATGAGCCACTGCACCCAGCCATTTTTGTATTTTTTTTTAGTGGAGACGGGGTTTCACCATGTTGGTCAGGCTGGTCTTGAACTCCTGACTTCGTGATCTACCTGCCTTGGCCTCCTAAAGTGCTGGGATTCAGGTATGAGTCACCGTGTCCAGCCTCACCTGCCTAATTTTTGTATTTTCAGTAGAGATGAGGTTTTGCCATGTTAATCAAGCTGGTCTCAAACTCCTGGCCTCAAGTGATCTGCCCTCCTCAGCCTCCCAAAGTGCTGCAATTACAGGCATGAGTCACCGCACCCAGCCTCTTAACTGTAATCACTCTTTTGCACCCTCTCCAAATGTATGTGTCCTGCATGTCCTGGTGGAGCCCACATGGCATTAATGACATATTTCTTGATCGTTTTCATGCCAATTTCCATATGTGTGGTTTGTGTTCCTAAACCTGTCTACAAGCTCCTTGAGGTGGGGACTGTTTGGGAGGAGAAAGGGTATGGTTTGTTTTTATGTTTATTTTATTTTATTTTTAAAGATGGGGTTTCACCATGTTGGTCAGGCTGGTCTTGAACTCCTGACCTCAGGTGATCCGCCCACCTTGGCCTCCAGATTGCTTGGATTACAGGTGTGAGCCACCACGCCAGGCCTAAGGGTATGGTTTGTTTGCTTGCTGTTGTTTTTGGCCTTTTTTCTTAGATATCCTAAAGCAGTGGTTCTTATACTTCCACAAGCACATTAAATGCTTATTACTGTTACATGTTATATGCTTGTTAATGTTACATATTAAATGCTTATTAATGTTAAAAGCTTCTAACTAGAATGCAGAACTGATTTAGTAGGAATGGGTTGGGCCTGGGATTCCGCATTCCTTCTATTTCCTTCCCTTCCTCTTCCCTCCCCTCTTCCTTCTTCTCTCTCTCTCCCCGCCGCCCCTCTCTTTCTTTCACTCTGTCGCCAAGGCTGGAGTGTGGTGATGCAATCTCGGCTCACTACAACCTCTGCCTACTGCGTTCAAGTGATTCTCCTGCCTCAGCCTCCTGAGTAGCTGGGATTACAGGCACACGCCACCAGACCAGCTAATTTTTTTGTATTTTTACTACAGATGAGGGTTTCACTACGTTGGTCAGGCTGGTCTCAAACTCCTGACTTCGTGATCCACCCATCTCCACCTCCCAAAGTTCTGGTAATAGAGGTGTGAGTCACTGCACCCGGCCCCTTCTCTTTCTTTGTTTCTCCCTTTCCCTTCCTTCCTTTCTTTTCTTTTTTTTAAAATCGAGTTTTGCTCTGTTGCCCAGGCTGGAGTGCAGTGGTGCAGTCATAGCTCACCGCAACCTCAAACTCCTGGGCTCAAGCAACCCTCCCACCTCAGCTTCTCAAAGGAGCTGAGACTGCAGGCGTATATCACCGTGCCTGGCTAGATTCTACATTGCCAACCTAAGTCTTGCTGTTGGTTGGAGGAACACACTTTTGAGTAGCAAGGCTCTGTAACTCCCAGAATAGTGCTTCAACATAAACAAGTAAGACTTTTGGTAGTATTTCCTAGGACCATTCCTTCTCAGGTCCAAGCCCTTTAAGCAAATTCTACCTTGCAATAAGACTTTTCCTCTCTGATCACTAGACTGCCCCCTAAATTAATTGAAGCCTGAGGACATGCTTTTGTTATACTGCAGTTGTTTGAATTTGTGTTTAAATCTAGGAATACAAATAGTTTCACTAATGTAATTTGAGAAGATTGATGAGTTATTTTGGGTAGGCATGGCCTAGCCCTGTAATGCTAGGATACTTTTGATAAGCGCTACAGTTATACCAGCTGACCCCATAAAAAGGGAAAACGCTCTAGCCTGCATAGAATGCTGACAGCTGTAACACCCCCTTCTGGACTAGGGCCCTTTGCTTTTCCCCCAGGTGGGTTAAGGAGCTGGAAGCAGACACAAAGCTTTTATTTTCCTGTGCCGGGTAAGTGTCTGTTTCCTGTGGAAAGTCCCACTTCATCAGAGGCAAAGAATTCCCTCTTAGTTTCACCCTGAAACTAGGAAAATTAGTCTTTATCCATATTGATAGGCTTCAATAAATGTTTTTCTATTTTCTTTTAAATAGAGACAGGGTCTCGCTATGTTACCCAGGCTGGTCTCACTTGCCCACCTGGGCTCAAGTGATCCTCTCACCTCAGCCTCCCAAAGTGTTGGAATTGTAAGCAAGATCCTAGCCAATAAATGCTTTTTAACTGGGAAGGACGGACCAGAAGGATAAGCTGGCACTAATGAAACCAGAAAGACGCTTGGCTGGACTCCTAACATGACGCCAACAAGAGGAATGTCAAGGCCAGCTGCCATGGCTTACGCCTGTAATCCTAACACCTGGGGAGGCTGAGCTGGGAAGATCACTTGAGGCCAGGAGTTTGAGACCACTCTGAGCAACATGGCAAAACCCCTCCCACTGCATCTCACAAAAAAATTAACAAATTAGCCAGGCCTGGTGGTGCACATCTATAGTCCCAGCTACTCAGGAGGCTGAGGTGGGAGGACTGCTTGAGCTTGGGAGTTTAAGGCTGCAGTGAGCTATGACTGCACCACTGCACCCCAGCCTGGGTGACAGAGCGAAACCCGAGGAGAGTCAAGCCTCTCAGGGCCTTGGTTTACTTATCTGTAAGATCAAGATATTGGGCTGGAAGATTACTAGCAGCCCTAAAATGTCAACTAACCAACTTAGCAGGAGAAAGGCAAAGAGACAAGATTCCACCGCTGGCTACTTGACAGCACAATGTGACTGGAGCCTCTTGGCTAACTTGTATTCTCTCATCTCAGCCCAAATGCTTGCCCTGATATGGTACTAAGTTAACCCTTTCTAGAAAATGTGGTGCCTCACATCCGCCTGCCTGACGTAGAAAGACCTGAAAAGACACGCCCTGTGCTGCCACCTAGTGGTTTCTCTTCTATCAAGGCAGAGTAGAATCTTGCTTTCTGTTCTCCATCTACCAATTAGGAGGGTCTAATAGGAGAGACTAAAAAGAGTGCCCTTCCAGGTGTCACCGCTTTAAGGGAATCAGGGACTATGATGAAGATCTACAAGGCCTTCTAAACTTTATAATTTCCTCTGTATTGTTATTTCTTGTCTGTTTCGCCGCAGCGAAACTCTAAAAACAAAAACGACCAAGATTGTTTTTAAGGTCAGCAAGGAAGCAGGGAACTGGGGAGAGACAGCACCCTAGGGTTTAAGGTAAACATCACCAGGAGATGGAGTGGGTGGAAGGAGCTGAATAGCGGAAAGGAAAGAGGGTGAAGTCCTCAGACTTGTTTGAAAAAGGAAAGAGGGGGTGGGAGAATGAATTGCCTTTTAGCTGGAATGAAAGTCATCATCTTAAAAGCATTGTCATGCTTTCCTGTTTTGTCTTCAGAGGCACCAGGCTGTTTTCAAGGCTGGAAAATGAAGCAAATGTATGGGTTTCAGCTACTGTTGCAGTTCAGGGGCCTTTGTAGCAAATGATACTCCCTTAGAGTAAGGATTCGAATACAAGTCTATAGAAAGGCCATGCACATATGGTACATGGATGGAGGCAGCCAGAGGTGAGGCTGTTGGGAGTGGTGGGGACTGTGGTAAATAGGAGCGAACTCACTCCATCTAAGGAAGCAGCAGCAACCAGTCCCTAGTGATTATGGGCCTAGCCAAACTGTGTCCCCACATTGGTAGATCTTTCAAATTTTCAGGAGAATCTGGAAACCTGGATTATTATGTGAAGTCACCTTATTTTTCAATGTTGGCAGCTAATGTTGCTTAAAAACAAATAGGACTCTGTGAGGGTGGCCAAGATGAACTTGTTTTAGGTAGCAAACATCTTCTGCCAACAAACTATCCAAAATGTGTTTTAAAATGTATAAATAGGGCTGGGCGTGGTGGCTTACCTGTAATCCCAGCACTTTGGGAGGTCAAGGCTGGAGGATTGCTTGAGCCTAGGAGTTCAAGACCAGCCTGGGCATCATAGTGAAACCCTGTCTCTACAAAAAATACAAAATTAGCCTGGCATGGTGGTATGTGCCTATAGTCCCAGTTACTTGGGAGGCTGAGGTGGGAGGATTGCTTGAGCCCAGGAGGTGGAGGCTGTAGTGAGTCAAGATGGTGCCACTGCACTCCAACCTGGAAGACAGAAGGAGACCCTGTCTCAAAAAATAAATAAATGAAAATAAATTATACATATATAACTATAGTCTACATTTTAGAGTTAAAAAATTTTTTTTTGAGATGGAATCTCATTCTGTTGCCCAGGCTAGAGTGTGGTGTCATGATCCTGGCTCACAGCAACCTCCACCTCATGGGTTCAAGTGATTCTCCTTCCTCAGCCTCTCAAATAGCTGGAATTACAGGCACCGCCACCACACCCGGCTAATATTTGTAATTTTTTTTTCTTTTCTTTTTTTGAGATGGAGTCTCACTCTGTCACCCAGGCTGGAGTGCAGTGGCATGATCTCGGCTCACTGCAACATCTGTGTCCCAGGTTCAAGCGATTCTCCTGCCTCAGCCTCACAAGTAGCTGGGATTACAGGTGTGAGCAACCGTGCCCAGCCTAAATTTTGTATTTTTAGTAGAGACAGGGTTTCACCATGTTGCCCAGGCTGGTCTTGAACTCCTGACCTCATGTGATCTGCCCACCTTGGCCTCCCAGAGTGCTGAGATTATAGGTGTGAGCCACTGCACCCGTTTGTATTTTAGAGATTTATGTCCTCTAAACTCATCATGTTTTGTGACATATATATTAGATTATTACAAAGATCTTTCAAACACCGGAGCTCCCACTTGCCAAATTTAGGACAAAATTTGATGTATTTTGTACATCAAAAAATAATGGATTATAACATGTTAAATGAAATGTAAAAGCTCTATGAATTCACAGTGAGTCAGAAGCATGCCAGCTAATAAATGCAGACAAATGATAGAATTTGAGTTTGTAACTGCCAATGTAATAATTGATTCAGTCTAGCTATCATCAATGGATGATAAAATCACCGAAACAACATTGGAGAATAGGATAATTACATGGTTCCAAAGTTGCACCCGGCAGATCAATTAATAAATTCAGGCTGGGTGTGTTGGCTCACGCCTGTAATCCCAGCACTTTGGGAGGCTGAGGTGGGCAGATCACCTGAGGTCAGGAGTTCGAGACCAGCCTGGCCAAAATGGTGAAATCCCATCTCTACTAAAAAGACAAAAGTTAGCAGCTGTGCTGGTGCATGCTTGTAATCCCAGCTACTTGGGAGGCTGAGGCAGGAGAATCGCTTGACCAGGGAGGTGGAGGTTGCAGTGAGCCAAGATTGTGCCACTGTACATCAGCACTCCAGCCTGGGCAATAGAGTGAGACTCCATCTAAAAAAAATTAATAAATTCAAAGGGAAAATGTATCTGGTGGATACCCTCTTAACCAAGCAAACTTGATATCACTAATAGTCAAACAATGGATGGTCTCCTGTTACAATGCGCTAAGAGAAACACAACCCCCTATGGAGAATTCTGCTGGAATTGTTTTACCTGAAAATAAACGTAAGGGAACAATCAAGGAAATTCAGAATCTGGAAAACTCTGCAAGATAACTTACCTGGATTCTAAAAAGTTCAATGTCATGAAAAATACCAAAAGGTGGGGATTTTTTGAGACGAAGAGAGACCAGGGAGATAACCAGAGACCATATGTAAACCTTGAGCGGATTCTGATGGAAGTGGGAAAGCCTGCTGGATAAGACAATTTAAGATCATTGGCAATAGTATGTTAAATTGTCTTCTTGAATTAATGTTAATTTTTTTAGTTGGATAGTAGTGAGTGTTATTGTGGTTATTTACTAGAATGACCTTTTCCTAGAGATCCATAATGAGATATTTAGGGGTGAGGTGTCATGACAGCTGCATCCTACCTTTAAAAAAGTGTGCTCTAGCCAGGCAAGGTGGCTCATGCCTATAATCCCAGCACTTTGGGAGGCTGAGGCAGGTGAATCACAAGGTCAGAAGTTCGAGACCAGCCTGGCCAACATGGTGAAACCCCATCTCTACTAAAGAAACAAAAAATTAGCCAGTCATGATGGTGCACACCTGTAATCCCAGCTACCTGGGAGGCTGAGGCAGAAGAACCCAGGAGGCAGAGGTTGCAGTGAGCTGAGATCACACCACTGCACTCCAGCCTGGGCAACAGGGACTGCACTCCATCTCAAAAAAGAAAAAAAGGGCTCTGTGTGTGTATAGCAGAATATGTGGTGAAATGTTAATGATTGGTAAAACCATGTAAAAGGTTTAGGATGTTTATTGAACTATTATTCCAGCTCACTTGGAAGTTTAAAACTTTTCAAAAAGAGAAACTTCATACTATGCCTTGGAATTTTATTGTAACTGTTATTCTAGTAGATATTAAAATGTACTAGCTAGCCATCCTGACACAGACTCTAGATGTCACATAAGCATTATTCAGTAAAGATGATTTGAGTCTGGCCTACTACAAGCTAGACATGATTTTAGGCAATTAGGATACTCGAATGAACAAAATAGAGATCTCCGGTCCTATGAAGCTTATATTCCAGTGGGGAGAGACAGACAGACAGACACAATGAACCTAATAAGTAAATTGTGGGAAAAACAGTCAAGTAGGAGTTAGTGGACAATTTGGGAAATATTAAAGTGGAGACTTAGATAAATAAATGAAAGGAGCACAGAGATTGATTTAAGGGATATTGAGATTATGTCCAAATTTTCTATTATTGTAGAATATGCTGGTTTGGTTTCACCTAAAGAATTCTGCACCTTTTAATCACACAAAGCCATTTCAGTTGGATTGCAGGCACACCAATTCTGAATCCCAGTTAGGAATATACTGATTTCTCTTTCACTTTCTACTGAATCCCAACTAGGGTGACCAGGTGTCCTGGTTTGCCCAGGACTAAGGGGTTTCCCAGGACATGGGACTTTCAGTGTTAAAACTGGGACAGTCCTGGGTGAACTGGGATGGGTTGGTCACCTTAAAACTGCCAGTTGCCACTTGTGTGACTTTGAGTAAATTATTTAGCTTCCAAGAGCCCTAATTTCCTCATCTATAAAAAGGACATTACACAAATACATATGGTAGGCAGATCACTTGAGGTCAGAAGTTCGAAGCCAGCCTGGTCAACATGGTAAAACCTCGTCTCTCCTAAAAATACAAAGATTAGCTGGGTGTGGTGGTGGACACCTGTAATCCCAGCTACTAGGGAGGCTGAGACAGGAGAATCGCTTGAACCTGGGAGGCAGAGGTTGCAGAGAGCTGAGATTGCGCCATTGCACTCCAGCGTGGTGACAGAGCAAAACTCCATCTCAAATAAATGTGACCTCCAATGTTGGGAGGTCACTGGAGGGCCCTCCTTAGTTGGAGGTGTTTGGGTCATGGGGGGCAGATCCTCCAGAATGGTTTGGTACTGTTTTCGAGGTAATAAGCAAGTTCTCACTCTATGAGTTCACTCAAGATCTGGTGGTTTGGGGGAGCATGGCACCTTTCCAGTCCTTGCTCATTCTCTCACTGCATGATGTGCCTGCTCCTCCTTCACCCCTGCCATGCTCATAAGCTCCCCAAGGCCCTCGCCAGAAGCTGATGCCATGCTTCCTGTACAGCGTGCAGAACCTTGAGCCAAAATAAACCCTTTTTCTTTATAAATTACCCAGCTGCAGGTGTTCCTTTATAGCAATACAAACTAACATACCATATAAGCTAGCACATCCACTCCTAGGTATATACCTGAAAAAGCAATAAAAACATGCTGACACAAATACTTGAGATGAATGTTCATAGCAGCATTATAATTTTTTATTTGAGACAGTGTCTTGCTGTATTGGCCAGGCCAGAGTGCAGTGGTAAAATCATGGCTTACTACAGTCCTGACTGACCTTCTGGGTTCAAGCAATCCTCCCACCTCAGCCTCCCAAGTAGCTGAGAATAAGGCCCATGTCACTGAGCCAAGCTAATTATTTTTTTTTGAGACAGAGTCTCACTGTGTTGCCCAGGTGGAGTGCAGTGGCACGATCCTGGCTCACTGCAACCTCCACCTCCCAAAAACAAGCGACTCTCCTGCCTCAGCCTCCGGAGTAGCTGGGACTACAGGTGTGCACCACCACATGTGGCTAATTTTTGTATTTTAAATAGAGATGGGGTTTCACCATGTTGGTCAGGCTGGTCTTGAACCCCTGACCTCAGGTGATCTGCTCGCCTCAGCCTCCCAAAGTGCCGGGATTACAGGTGTGAGCCACCGTGCCCAGCCCCAAGCCCAACTAATCTTTTACTTTTTGTAGAGATGGTGTCTCACGATGTTGCCCTGACTGGTCTCAAATTCCTGGACTCAAGCAATCCTCCTGTCTCAGCCTCCCAAAGTGCTGGGATTACAGGCATGAGCCATTGTGCCTGGCTTCAGCATTATTTTATTATTTTTTTTGATACATCAGATGCATTATTCTTTTTTTAAAATTTTTTAATTTTTTTTTTTTTTAAGACGGGGTTTCACCATGTTGGTCAGGCTGGTCTTGAACTCCCGACCTCAGGTGATCCGCCAGCCTTGGCCTCCAAAGTGCTTGGATTACAGGCATGAGCCACCACGCCTGGCCTTAGATGCATTATTCTTAATAGCTAAAAACTGTAAATAACTCAAACATTCATCAGCTGGTGAATGAATTCATAAAATGCAGCATATCCACGCAATGGAATATTATTTGGCAACAAAAAGAAATAGAATACTGGTGGTACAATATGGATGAACCTTAGAAATATTATGCTAAGTGAAAGAAGATAGTCACAAAAGAATATTGTATCATTCCATTTGTATGAAATGTCCGGAATAGGCAAATCCATGGAGACAGAAAGTAGGTTAGTGGTTTCCAGGGACTGGGAGAAATGGAGAAAATGGGTGTGACTGCTAATGGGTATGGGGTTTCTTTTGGGAGTGAGAAAATGCTCTAAAATGTATTGTGGTATTGGTTGCACAACTCTGTGAATATAAGAAAAACAATTGAATTGTACACTTTAAATGAAAGAGTAATGGTATGGTAGGCAAATTATGTTTCAATACATCTGTTAAACAATAGAGAAAAAATATTTTAGATTAAAAAAAAGATTATAATGTCTGTGTGAGGTCTAAATGAGTCTTTGCTCTCAAAATGCCCCCAGGGTCCTCCCCCAAAACATATTAATCGCACCAAATTATCATTGTGTATGTCTTTGTCTTGTCCACTGAACTGAGACCCCTGGGATGACAGAAACTTCCTTTTTTTGTTTTTATTTTTTTAGATGAAGTTTTGCTCTTGTTGCCCAGGCTGGAGGGCAGTGGCACTATCTCAGCTTACTGCAGCCTCCGCCTCCTGGGTTCATGCGCCACCATGCCCAGCTAATTTTGTATTTTTAGTAGAGACGGGGTTTCTCCAAGTTGGTTGGGCTGGTCTGGAATTCCAGAACTCAGGTGATCTGCCTGCCTTGTCCTCCTAAAATGCTGGGATTTCAGGCATGAGTCACCTCACCTGGCAGAAACCTTCTTATTCATTCAGGGTTAGCCCAGTGTGGTGATGCATGCCTATAGTCCCAGCTACTTAGGAGGCTGAGGTGGGAGGATCGCTTGAGCCCAGAAGTTAGAGACTGCAGTGAGCTATGATCATGTCACTGGACTCCAGTTTGGGTGACAGAGTGAGACCCAGTCTCTAAAAATAGTAGTAATAATAAAAATTCAAAATAGGCCGGGCACTGTGGCCCATGTCCTTTGGGCAGGCCTCAGAACAGAAGTTCAGTAGGCTTAGAACTCGAAGGAGGAAGGAGGCAATGAAATTCTATGAAAAGAGAAGTCAGCAAAGGGTAATATATTGTGGATCAAGAAGGGAGGGCCAGTTACTAAATTCCCCATGGCAGGAGCGGGCAGCCAACTTCAGCAATGGCGGTACCTGTTAAACACTTCCGTTATCCAGAATAGGCCGGGCACAGTGGCTCATGCCTGTAATCCCAGCACTCTGGGAGTGGATCACTTAAGGTCAGGAGTTTGAGACTGGTCTGGCCAACATGGTGAAACCCCGTCTCTACCACAAATACAAAAATTAGCAGGGCATGGTGATATGCACCTGTAATCACAGCAGGAGAATCGACTGAACCCAGGAGATGGAGGTTGCAGTGAGCCAAAGATTGTTCCACAGCACTTCAGCCTGGGTAACAGAGTAAGACTCCATCTCAGAAAAAAAAAGACTGATCAGGTTTCTGTTCTCAGGGCCTTACATTATAGTGAGGGAAACAGAAAAATAAACAGATGATATATAGCAATAATTGCATTGTAAATCTTTCAAGTAGGTTGATAGGGATAGCACTCATGGCTACTTAAGACAGGATGGCCAGGAAAGGCCTCTCTGAAGAGGTGACGTTTATGTGGAGGTCTGAATACTAATCAGCAGATAGGCAAGTGAAGATCTGGAGTAAAGAGCATTCTAGGGAAAGATCTTTGTCAGTGAAAAGGCCCCCGGGCTGGAACAAGTTTGGCTTGTTCAAAGAACCCGATGGCCAGCTGGCTGCATCACGTCATGGGGGAGGCTGGGAGCAGGCACTGGAAAGCCAGATTGATTTTTACCCATGAAGCAAATGAAATGGTATTTGTAACACGGCAACCAAAAAGTCAGAAGCTACAGACTTCTGACTTGAATAAGAAGGGTACCTTCTTTGAAAATTTCACATTTATTTATTTATTAAGGAACTGTAAAAATTTCAGATTAAAAATTTGTAGAATATCAGCACCATAAGACAGGGTGAAGGCTGGGCGCAGTGGCTCATGACAGCAATCTCAGCACTTTGGGAGGCTGAGGCAGGTGGATCACCTGCTGTCAGAAGTTTGAGACCAGTCTGGCCAACATGGTGAAACCCCGTCTCTACTAAAAATACAAAATTAGCTGGGCGTGGTGGCATGTGCCTGTAATCCCAGCTACTCAGGAGGCTGAGGCAGGAGAATCACCTGAACTTGGGAGGCGGAGGTTGCAGTGAGCCGAGATCATGTCACTGCACTCCAGCCTGGGAGACAGAGTGAGACTCCATCTTAAAAAAAGAAAACAAGACAGAGTGGAAAAAATCAGTAGAATATAAAACAAAAGTGATGAAGATACGTGATTAAATCAGTAGTAAATACTCCGACATCAAGAAATGAATTAAAAACAAAAATTTCAGATTCTACAGAAAGTAGCAGTATTAAGAGGAAGAGACAAAACTTGAGTAGAGGTTATAAATCAATTTCTAGCTTGCTGGATAATACCATCAATGAAGATGAGGGGAACATAGGAACCCATAAGATAAAGATTTTGAGTTCTTGCTGATTTGACACAAAATACTGACGTCAGTAAAAGTCATATAACACTGAGGATTCACCGCTAAAACAAAGACTTTAACACAAACTTATAATGGTTATAAGAGGATTCACCGCTAAAACAAAGACTTTAACACAAACTTATAATGGCCAAATCAAAGAATACTTAAGATTAATCCTAACAGGAAAACATAAAATGCCCTAAAATCTTACAGCTCATTTTGGATAGAGGTTTTAACAACAGTCCTAAAGTTTTACATAATAATGAGTCATGTAGTTAAAAGACACTCTTTTAAAATATCATAAGAAACAAATTTCAGCCAGGCACAGTGGCTCACACCTGTAATCCCAGGACTTTGGGAGGCCAAGGCAGGCGGATCACCTCAGGTTGGGAGTTTGAGACCAGCCTGACCAACATGGAGAAACTCCATCTCTACTAAAAATACAAAATTAGCCAGGCGTGGTGGTGCATGCCTGTAATCCCAGCTGAGGGAAGCTGAGGCAGGATAATCACTTGAGCCTGCAGGGCGGAGGTTGCAGTGAGCCAAGATGGCACCATTGCACTCCAGCCTGGGCAACAAGAGCAAAACTCTGTCTCAAAAATGGAAACAAACAAACAAAAAACAAATTTCAAGCAACCATGCTGGAGGACAGATGAATTATCTTTCTACTCTTTCCTAAGAAAATGAAATTTAGGCTGGGCATGGTGGCTCCTGCCTGTCCTCCCATCACTTTGGGAGGCCAAGGTGGGAGGATTGCTTGAGCTAGAAGTTTGAGACCACCTTGGGTAACCTAGTGAGACCTCATCTCTACTAAAAGTAAAATTAAATAAATTAGCTGGGTATGGTGGCACACACCTGTAGTCCCAGCTACTCAAGAGGCTGAGAAAAGAGGATCACTGAGCCCAAGAGTTTGAGGTTCCAGTGAGCTATGAAAAACAAAAAAGATATTTTAAATTGTCATATGAAGAGATGAAGACTATATAGCCAAAAAATGTAGCAAAAAGTATTATATTGTGTTAATAAGTTAATTCATAAAAAATATATTTTGGGCTGGGTGCAGTGGCTCACACCTGTAATCCCAGCACTTTGGTAGGCTGAGGTGGGAGGATTGCTTGAGCCCAGGAGTTCGAGACCAGCCTGGTCAACAGAGTGAGACCCTGTCTCATTAAAAAAAAATTACATATATATATATACACACACACACACATACACACACACACACACACACACAGTAATAAATATATATAATTATAGTTATTTTCCTAAACTTGGTGATATTTTTTGCAAGTTTTTGTAAAATTGAAATTTATTGTGGTTTTTTCTTGGATGCTAAATAAATATCCATTTTCTTTTCTTTTTTTTTGAGACAGAGTCTTGCTCTGTCGCCCAGGCTGGGATACAGTGGTGCAATCATAGCTCACTGCAGCCTGGGAGATCTGCACTGTAGATCTCTCAGGCTCAAGGGATCCTCCTGCCCTAGCCTCCTTAATTGCTGAGACTATAGGGATATACCACTATACTTGACCAATTTCTTTGCTTTTTATTTGAGACGGGCTCTCTCTGCATTGCCCAGACTGGTCTCAAACTCCTAGGCTTAAGCAATCTTCCCCCTTCAGCCTCCCAAAGTGCCAGGATTACAGGTGTGAGCCACTGTGTCCAGATAAATATTCATTTTGGGCCGGGCATGGTGGCTCACATCTGTAATCTCAGCACTTTGGGAGGCCGTGGCAGGCAGATCATCTGAGATCAGGAGTTTGAGATCAGCCTGCCCAAAATGGTCATACCCTGTCTCTACTAAAAATACAGAAATTAGCTGGGCATGGTGGACCTGTAATCCCAGCTACTTGGGAGGCTGAGGCAGGAGAATCACTTGAACCCAGGAGGCAGAGGTTTTAGTGAGCTGAGATTGTGCCATTGCACTCCAGCCTGGGCAACAGAGTGAGACTCTGTCTTAAAAAAAAAATTTTTTTTTTTTGGCCGGGCACAGTGGCTCATGCCTGTAATCCTAGCACTTTGGGAGGCCGAGGTGGGTGGATCACGTGAGGTCAGGAGTTCAAGACCAGCCTGGCCATCATGGTGAAACCCCATCTTTGAAAAAAAAATTTTTTTTAATAAATAAAAATTAAAATAGTTGTAATATTCTTTTATTTTTTTGTAAAGAGGCTCCTCCCTCCATAAATTGTGTAACTTCCAGGCCTCACAAAGCCTAAATCCTTCCCTAGGTACAAGATGTATGGTTTGTTGCTAAAGAAGAGATTTGGATTTTATTCTATGTATGATGGGAAGCTATTAAAAGGTTCTGATTAGATGAGTGACAAGCTGATTTATGACATTTTAAAAAGATGACTCTGGCTGCCAGGTTACCTACAATAACACAGCATTAGTGGGGGAGATGGAGAGAAGGAGTTGTGTCCATGTGTGTGGTAACAAGGAGTGAGGGGTTCCCACAGCTATGCAACAGCCAGAGTCTCTGGAGAAAAAGCCAGGACAGGTATTCAGAGCAGGAGGAGACAAGCCCCAGAAGTAAGCACTGGGCACAGGTTAGCTATGATGGTCATGATGACCACTTACCATCCAGCTAACATATACTGAATGCTTACTTCTGGAAAATAGCCCTGGGTGGGTTCAGAAATATTGAAGAAGAGATTGAATTTCCAGTTGAATGGGGGCTCAAGTTAAGGAAATTGATCTGAGAAGGCTGGGAGACTTAGGGACACTGGGACACATGATTGGCAGGGAGAGAATAAAAAGACACAGAGGGAGCAAACACAGGACATGCAAAGGTAAAGGGACAAGTGAGACATTAGATGGGCCGAAACACAGGACACAACAGTAGTAACAGCTAACACTTCCACAGTTCACCTGGTGCCATTGCTGGGTTTTGCATGTGTTAGCCATTTTATTTTATCTTATTTATTGAGGCAGAGTCTCACTCTGTTGCCCAGGCTGGAGTGCAATGGCGTGATTGCAGCTCACCGCAACCTCTGCCTCCTGGTTTCAGGTGATTCTCCTGCCTCAGTCTCCCCAGTAGCTGGGATTACAGGCATGCACCACCATGCTCAGTGAATTTTTGTAATTTTAGTAGAGACAGGGTTTCACCAGGTTGGCCAAGTTGGTCTCAAACTGCTGACCTCAAATGATCCACTAACCTCGGCCTCCCAAAGTGATGGGATTACCGGCATGAGCCATGGTGCCTAGCCTAACCCATTTAATTTAGAAAGAGAAGCTGCAGCAGATCATGGTCTGCCCTAAGTAAAGAAACATGGACATATTTTATGGATAGTGCAAGCCACTGAAGATTTTTGAGCAGATATTATTAGGAAATAAAAGAGAGTAATCAAGATTGCTTAACTAGGGGAGCCTAAAGACCTCCTGAAATTTTGAGCAAATATTTGTGTGATGCTTCTTTTCTTTGGGAGAGTCCATACCACCCATCCAACCTCAAAGGTGTCTGAGATTTCAAAAAAGGCTAAGGAAGGCTGGGTATGGTGGCTGGCACTTGTAATCCCAGCATTTTGGAAGGCTGAGGTGGGTGGACTGTTTGAGTTCAGAAGTTCAAGGCCAGCCTGGGCAAAATGTCGAAACTCCATTTCTGCAAAACATACAAAAATTAGCCAGGTGTGGTAGCATGTATCTGTAGTCCCAGCTACTTGGGAAGCTGAGATGGGAGGATGGCTTAAGCCCGGGAGGTAGAGGTTGCAGTGAGCTGAGACTGTACCACTGCACACCAGCCTAGGTGATAGAGGCAGATCTTGTCGAAAAAAAATAAAAGGTTAAGGATCAGGGACTTAGCAGTTTTAACCCTAGATGACCAATAGTATGGTATTGTCATGAGTGAAAGTAGGGATCCCAGGTAAGACAAGGAGGCAGTGTTGGCTGGAAGAGCAGAGAAATGGTCATTTCCCTCTGAGATATGTTGATTTCACAGTGTTACAGGTGGATCTCCAGTGGGCAGTAGAGATTTGGAACCCAGCTCTCCAAGATAGGGCGAGGCTGCTGCCACAGGCAGGGGAATGATCCTCTATCACAAGCTCGAGTTTGAATGACATTGTCAAGGAAAATCAGAAAAGAAGGCCAAGGACAGATCTTTGAACATTATTTGATCTGACTGCCTTGCCTTTTCCTAAGTGCTTTCGCACAGATTTTTTCTCTACACGAGAAATTCACATTTTGAACTTTAGTTCCTAAAATACATTAAATCATACGTGGCTTCTAAGACGGGGCAGGAGGGGATGCACATAATGACTGCTTATGTGGCTTCTCATCTGAGGAAATTATCTCTTCAAAATGATCGGGTGCTCCTGACCCTATTCTTAAGAGTGTGGGCATTTTTGAGCTAATTTTGGAAGTGCAAGGATAATTGTTAGCACTCAGACCTAGTTCTACCCCAGTGTTAAAAATCTCAGGAACCGGCTGTGAGCATGGTAGCTCATGCCTGTAATACCAGCACTTTGGGAGGCTGAGACAAAAGGATCATTTGAGTCTAGGAGTTCAAGGCCAGCCTAGGAAATATGGCGAAACCCCATCTTTACAAAAAATACAAAAATTAGCTGGGCATAGTGGTGCATGCATGCCTGTGGTCTCAGCTACTGGGGAGGCTGAGGTATCAGAATCACTTGAACCTGGGATGCAGAGGTTGCAGTGAACTGAAATTGCACCAGTGTCTTCCAGCCTGGGCAACAGAGCAAGACACTGTCTCAAAAAAAAAAAAAAAAAAAAAAAGAAAAAAGTGGAAGGCAGGGTGCGGTGGCTCACGCCTGTAATCCCAGCACTTTGGGAGGCCGAGGTAGGTGGATCATCTGATGTCAGGAGTTCGGGACCAGCCTGGCCAACATGGTGAAATCCTGTCTCTACTAAAAAAAAAAAAAAATAGCTGGGCATGGTGGCAGGTGCCTGTAATCCTCAGTTACTTGGAAGGCTGAAGCAGGAGAATTGCTTGAATCTGGGAGGTGGAGGTTGCAGTGAGCTGAGATTGCGCCATTGCACTCCAGCCTGGATGACAAGAGCGAAATTCTGTCTCAAAAAAAAAAAAAATATATCAGGAGCCCACAGAATCCCCGCTTTCCTTGAGGAGGAAAGAAAAGATATCTACACATGGCAAGAAAGTGCTTAAAATATTAAGGTAGGCCAGGCATGGTGGCTCACGCCTGTAATCCCAGCACTTTGGGAAGCCGAGGCAGGTGGACAACCTGAAGTCAGGAGTTCAAGACCAGCCTGGCCAGCATGGTGAAACCTCATTTCTACTAAAAATATAAAAATTAGCCAGGTGTGGTGGTGCGCACCTGTAATCCCAGCTACTTGGAAGGCTGAGGCAGGAGAATTGCTTGAACCAGGGAGGCAGAGGTTGCAGTGACACTACACTCCAGCCTGGATGACAGCATGAGACTCCCTCTCAAAAAAAAAAAAAATTAAGGTAGACTGCACATTGATAGCTCCTATCCTGGATCAATGGTTATAACCCAAGAACACTCACCCAAACAAGAGCCATCATTTTCCCAAGAGGCTGTTTAATTTTGTCTGGCTACATTATTTCAGTATGAAAGAAGCAGCAGTTTTAGTCTGTCATACCCAGAAACTACCTGATAGCCAATATAATGAAACTCTGTGGAGGCAGTAAAATGCTGAGTGCCGAACACTTACTTTGCTTTTTAGAGACAGAGTCTTGCTCTGTTGCCCAGGTTGGAGTGCAGTGGTGCAACCATGGCTCTCTGTATCCTCAAACTCCTGGGCTCAAGAGATCCTTTCACCTCAGTCTCCTGAGTTGAGTAGCTGGGACTACAGGCATGAGCCACTACACGCAGCTTTGAATGCTTAGTTTGTTACCAGGCCCTGAGTTAAGGCCACATATTGGCTGGGCACGGTGGCTCATGCCTGTAACCCCAGCCCTTTGGGAGGCAGAGGCAGGTGGATTGAGTACAAGAGTTCAAGACCAGCCTGGGCAACATGGCAAAATCCCGTTTCTGCAAAAACAAACATTAGTCAGGCGTGGTGGAACATGCCTGTAATCCCGGCTACTTGGGAGGCTCAGGTGGGAGAATTACTTGAACCCAGAGGTTGTAGTGAGCTAAGATGGCACCACTGCACTCCAGCCTGGGTGACAAAGTGAGACCTCATCTCCAATAATTAAAAAAAAATTTTTTAAAAAGAAAAACAGGCTATATATTAACGACTCATTGAATCCTCATAAAAATCCCATCGGATGAGTTTGTTAAAGGTGTTATTTTATGGATGCAGAAATGGAGGCTTAGTGAGCAAAGTTTGTCTTCTAACCATCCCCAGACTGTTCCTGCTTTATTCTGGGCGAGACTCATCTGCAGACCTGCCTATGGCCATGTCCAGCCCCATGGGCCTGGGCCATCCACATAAGGGGCAGTAGAAATGGAACCAAGAGTAAACACCCTTAGATCCACTAGGTTGCACTCTAACCCTGCACCTGTTCTGTGTTGCAGCCTGCTTCCACCCAGCTCTGAATCTGCCCGGCTGGCTCTAAATTCCTACTTCCAAGCATTTCAAGCCCTGTACTTCAAACCCTGCTGGCTTCTATTAGGGTTTGGCCCCACCACCTGCAGAGGTTGGGGCAGAGCTAAACTAACAAGGACTTGGATTAGCTGCACCCTGTGAGGCAAGGCCTGTTCTTTTTTTTTTTTTTTTTTGAGATGGAGTTTCACTCTTTGGCCCAGGCTGAAGTGAAGTGGTGTGATCTCAGCTCACTGCGACCTCTGCACAACCCTCCTTCCCGCCCACTTTCAGTTGATTCTCCTGCCTCAGCCTCCTGAGTAGCTAGGATTATAGGCGCCGGCCACCACGCCTAGCTAATTTTTGTATTTTTAGTAGAGACGGGGTTTCACCATGTTGGCCAGGCTAGTCTCAAACTCCTGACCTCAGGTGATCCACCTGCCTCGGCCTCCCAAAGTGCCAGGATTACAGGCACGAGCCACCATGCCCAGCTGGAGGCAAGGCCAGTTCTAAGAGGAACATGCTCAACTTGGAGGAAGTCTCCTCTGGCTGGCAGAACAAATACTGGCAGGAAAAGGATACCAAGTTCCTAGTAAGTGCTGGAACTAGATGGAACTAGATTGCCAAAGTCGACAGGTAGAGGGCCAGGACTAGAGGTCACAGGGCAAAAGGCACAACGTAGAATATCAGAGGCTTTCTGGTAACAAGGTAGCACAGGGGTGAAAAATTCAAAAAGGGTCAATATTTAAGAATCAGGATAAATGTCATGGGGTAGACTTTCTCCTCTTTTTCCCTTATTATGGGTTGAATTGTGAGTCTTCCTCAAATTCTTATGTTGAAGACCTAAGGCCCAGTACCCCAGAATGTGATCTCATTTGCAAACAGGTTTGTTACAGATGTAAGTAGTTAAGATGATGTCATTCAGATGGGCTTTAATCTGGTATGACTGGTGTACCTATAAGAAGGGACATTTGGGCCAGCCAGATGCAGTAGCTTATGCCTGTAATCCCAGCACTTTGGGAGGCTGAGGAGGGCGGATTACTTGAGCCCAGCCTGGCCAACATGGTGAAACCCTGACTCTACCAAAAATACAAAAATTAGCCAGTCTCATAACCTAGTCTCAAAAGGATACTTTTTTTTAAAAGGGAAATTTAGAAACAGAGATGCACACACAGGGAGGATGTCATGTGAAAATGAAGGTGAGATCAGGGTGGTGCTTCTACATGCTGAGGAATGCCAAAGATTGCCAGCGAGCCACCAGAACCGAGGGGAGAGGCATGGAACGGTTGCCATCTCACAGCTCTCTGAAGGAACAAACCCCGCTGACACCTTGACTTTGGACTTCCAGCCTCTAAAATGTGAGACAATACACTTCCATTGTTGAAGACACCCAATTTGTGGTATTTTCTTACAACAGACCTAGAAAACAAATGCACCTCTTTTCTCTGAAACAGTAGGCCTGTTCTAGTCTGCCTCTGGCCAATCTAATCCTGGTTTCCTGAACCTGGGCTTCAGAGGAGGCAGATATGCAGAAAGCTTTTCAATAAAAATGGCTCCAGCAGAGCTCATGGGTATGCAGAGCCCATTGGAAATCGGCAGGCAGAGTGGCATGGGGACCTTCAACTCCACCTTGCACAGTGAGGATACTCTGTGTCCTGTGTGCAAGTGGCTTAAGGGAGAGGGTTCCCAATGGAGAACTGGGTACTAACTCCTTGAGGGATGAAAATATTTAACCTCAAGTCTAGAGCATGGATTTTGCTTAACGTGACTCATAAAAATCTTTGTTCTCAGCCTCTCTCCCCATCATCATTCAGGCTGTTACCAGCTTGCCTTTAGTTATCTGACAAAGGCAGCCGGTTTCCATGGTTACCTACAAGCAAGCAGCAAGGTGCGATTCCTAGAAGGCCCCCTGATTAAGCAAATAGCGAGACAGGGGGCCTCTGGCACAATGAAAATAACCTGGATCCAATGATCAGAATGGGCTACTGGAGGCAACTGGATTTCAGGAGCAAGTTGGAAGCCATACCCAGTTATCATAGCTGGGCATGGAGCAAGAGGCAGAACAGCAAACCCAGTTACTACTACTGCCTGCTGGACACTGAGCCCGCCCTACGAAGCAGGTGCTACAGCAAGTACTTCATGTGCCTTATGTCCTTTGGCCCTTACCTACTTACCAAAGCTTTCAGTTTTATAGATGAAGGAACTCATGGGACATGTTCAAGATCACACGGCTGGTAGGTAACAAGGATTTGAAACCCAGGTGCTTAAAAGCTTCCATTTATCCCTCCAGCTGAGCTTGCTGTCCTTCTCCACCCCAAAGGCTGACATCATGGGCTGCACCAACAGCCTCCCTTTCTATGCTGGCACCAGTTGGGGCTGTTAGTGGAGAGTCTCACAGACAGGAGGGAAGGAAGGAGAGGGTGCTTTTGGCTTATGGTGACACAAAGTGGCTTTCTCTACAGAATTCTCTCCTTCTATTTCCTTCTCTGTGTCTGAATCTAGGGCCACTACTGCTCTATCCCTTGCGGTTGTCCAGTACCCTCTCTTTTGTAGAAAGCCTCTTTATAATAAGTCATCCTTGACTTACGCTCATTTTTTTTTTTTTTTTTTGAGACGGAGTCTCACTCTGTCGCCAGGCTGAATGGAGTGCAGTGGCGCTATCTCAGCTCACTGCAACCTCTACCTCCTGGGTCCAAGCAATTCTCCTGCCTCAGCCGCCCGAGTAGCTGGGACTACAGGCACACACCACCATGCCCAGCTAATTTTTGTATTTTTATTAGAGACAGGGTTTCACCATGTTGGCCAGGCTGGTCTTGGTCTCCTGACCTTGTGATCCACCTGCCTTGACCTCCCAAAGTGCTGGGATTACAGGCATGAGCCACCATGCCCTGCCGACTTATGGTCTTTCTAGTAAGACTCTGACTGCTATACCAGGTCTGTCTACTGCTGAAGGAGTTAGCCTGAACTCCTGTCCCATTCTTCTCCCTGTATCCAGCCAGCATGGTGGTGGTTTAAGTCCCAGACCATTGGATCCGCACTCCTTAAATGCCTGCAATCTAAGGCCAGCATTGGTCTCTGAGACTTGGAGCTGCAGGAAAGTGCTGCTACAGCTGAGGTGGGTAGTCTGTGGTTACAGGTGTGGGGAGAGGGCGCGGCAGAGTGTAGAGAGCTAAGCAGGGTCTGACACTCACCTACAGGAACCTTCCATTCCCACGTGGTCCTTCTGTTCTGGCAGCTCCCTGCGCTGTGCTGAGCTGCTGCATTGGAGTTCAGTTAACTGTTGAGCTGGAGCAGACAGTCCCGGCGAGCCTGCCTTCACTTCACACACCAGCCACAGTTTGTGGGTTTCCAGGACCACCTTCACTTCAGACTATCTGGCTACAAACTCAGGGGGTTTCAAAACCACCCTCAGAATGATTCACAGAACTCAGGAAGTGCTATACTTATAGTTACAGTTTTATTATAGCAAGAAATATAAACTAAAATCAGCCAAGGGAAGAGATGCAAGAGCAGATGTCAAACGATATCCAGTTGAGGAGCTTCTGCTCATCATCTCCCAATGGAATCATGGAGTCTTGACCATGGTGTGTGATCATACACAGTACAAATGCCCTTTGACTTACAATGGAATTACCTCTTGATGAACCCATTGAAAATATTGTAAATCGGCTGGGTGCGGTGGCTCACGCCTGTAACCCCAGTACTTTGGGAGGTCGAGGCGGGCGGATCAGGAGATCGGAAGTTCAAGACCAGCCTGGCCAACATGGTGAAACCTGTCTCTACTAAAAATACAAAAATTAGCTGGGCATCTGTAATTCCAGCTACTTGGGAGGCTGAGGCAGGAGAATCGCTTGAACCCAGGAGGTGGAGGTTGCAGTGAAGCAAGATTGTACCACTGTACTCCAGCCTGGGTGACGAAGCAAGACTCCATCTCAACAACAAAAAAGAAAATATTGTAAATTGAAAATGCATTTAATACATCTAACCTACCAAACATCACAGCTTAGCCTAGCCTACCGTAAATGTGTTCAGAACACTTATGTTAGCCTATATTTGGGCAAAATCATCTAAAATAGTAAGGCCTATTTTGTAATAAGGTGGCGAATATCTCATGCGATTTATTGAATATTGTATATTACATAGAAATTGTGACAGTTTTGAACCATCATAAAGTCAAAAATCTAAGTCAAACCATCCTAAGTCACGAGACCTTCTGTATTGCCAACATAGAAAGGTCACCTAAGCCTTTGGTGTTCAGACTTTATGGGAGTTAATTACAATGAATTTTGGTATCTAGCCCTTTCCAGAAGTCAGAACTGATATGACATGACCCAAAGTCTTCATTGTAAGTCACACTGTTAGACTACCCAATGGCCAAAGCCTGCAGGCAAACAAAAACAGTCCTATCAGGCAGGACATTCCAGGGGTCTAGAGATCACCTCTTGGTAGCCAAGGACAAAGGCCAGACCTCTTTGGGGCAGGTTGATTCTTCATTACACAAACTACTTTGCTCCTTAGGCATCTATCAGACCTTTCTGCTTGGTTGTATTCCTGGTGTTTGTCTTGCTTGGCCAGCCCAGTGCTGTTCTCATCTGTGCCCATCGTAGTGTGGGATGGTGCTCAGGGAGATACTTGATTTAGTATATGGTGAGCTTAGCAGATCTTACTCATTGCAAGATTCACCACTGCAACCATTATCCCTGCTATTGTGGTGGTAAATTTCATGTCTTTGTTCCATTGTTGGGAAGGGACATCTGCTTTACAAAAGAGTTCTCTTTGTGGTGCTAGGGGAAGAGTTTACAGTCTCCTTCCAAATGCCCTTGCACAAATTAACTTGTGCTTTGAGGCCATTATTAGTAAAATAAAGATTACTTGAACACAAGCACTGTGGTATCATGACAGTTGATCTGATAACCAATAACCAACAGGGCTACTAAGTGACTAACAGGGTGGGGAGCATATCAGCCTGGATATGCTGGACCAACTGATGATTCATGTCCCAGGTGGGGTAGGGCAGGACAGCACAAACTTTCATCATGCTACTCAGAGTGACAGAATTTAAAACTTCTGATGCATTATTTCTGGAATTTTCCATTTAATATTTTCAGACCCCTGTTGACCATGAGGAACTAAAATTTGGGAAAACAAAACCATGAATAAGTGGGGGGACTGTTGTCCCTGTCTGCTTCCTGCTCTAGACTTGGGCCTCTTAAAGGCAGCAGATGTGTCTTATTCATCTTCAATACCTCCAGTGCCTACCATGAGCTAGTCCCTCACAGGCATTCTGTAAACCAACCTCTCTAGTTCACCTACTCAGGAATACACTGCATTGAATTTCTCCAGATGAGAGTTAGCAAAGGTGCCTCTGAATGCACGCCAGCCTGGTCTTCAATAACACATTTTTATTTGGAAGAGTTACTCTGTTTACAGATGCTATCTCTTCTAATCCTCCAACCTGTGAGATAGATAGCCTTACCATCCCCATGAACAGATGATGAGAGAAATTGAGACAATTATAGACAGCAAATTTTCCAAGGTCATCTAATCCCTACGTGGCCCAGTGGGGACAGAACCAGGTCTGTTGGATTCCAGAGTTCCAAGTCCTTAATCACTGTTCTCTAATGGCCTGGGGTAGTCCAGTGAGATCAATGCAATTGATAGGCCATTTCCAGTAGAGGATTTAGTTTGAAATCATGCTTACGGTAGAGAATGAGATTATAAAATGAAGTGACTTTGAATAATAAATGAAAGCTAGTGATTGTGATTGAGAATGCACTAGAAGTAGAAAAAAAAAGATCCTGGTTTTTAAGGCAGTAGGAAGCCAATGTTAAGTCCATCAGGTGAAATTAGATTATCATTAAATCCACATGTAAAATACAAGCTGAAACATTTGTGTGCTGTTTTTTCTGATCTTAGAGTAATCTTTACTTTGCAGCGCTCTTTTTTCTACATTTTTCACATTGCACAGATATTGTAGCCCTGTATTTTAGGGTTATTTCTTCTTCTTTCTTCTTTCTTCTTCTTCTTCTTCTTCTTCTTCTTCTTTTTGAGACAGGGTCTCATTCTGTTGCCCAGGCCAGAGTGCAGTGGCTTGATCACTGTTCACCACAGACTCAATCTCTTGGGTTCAATTGATCCTCCTGCCTCAGCCTCCCAAGTAGCTGGGACTACAGGTATGCACCACACCCAGCTATTCTTTGTTTAGGAATGATGAGGTTTCACCATGCTGCCCAGGCTGGCCTCAAACTCCTTTGCTTAAGTGATCCGCTCACGCCACTGAGCCCAGCCTTTAAATTAATTTCTTTTTTCCTTTCTTTTTTTTGAGACGGAGTCTTCCTCTGTTGCCCAGGCTGGAGTGCAATGGTGCAATCTCAGCTCACTGCCATCTTCACCTCCTAGGTTCAAGAGATTCTCCTGCCTCAGCCTCCTGAGTAATTTCCATTTTTATACATGTACAGTCATGTGTTGTATAATGAGCTTTGGGGCAGTGAGGAACCATATATATGACAGTGGCCTCATAAGATGATAATATTGTATTTTTACTGCATTTTCCATGTTTAGATATGTTTAGATACACAAATACTTACCATTATGTTATGACTGCCTACAGTATTCAGTACAGTAACCTAGGGGCAATAGGCTATACCATATACCTATACCAGGAGCTTATGTGTGTAGTGCGCTATAGCATCTAGGTTTGTGTAAGTAAACTTTATGATGTTCACACAATATTGAAATCACCCAGTGACACATTTGTCAGTACACCTCCCCATCATTAAGCAGTGCATGACTGTACATAATAGTATGAAATAGTAGCACTGCCTTAAGATTTCTAATAAAAAAAAAAATCAGCTCCCTGACTGATCCCTATATACTTCTACTCTGTCAAGACAGTCACCTCAACTCTCAGCTGCTCCTTCTAACACATGTAACCACTTTCTAAATAATATGCTTTTATTCAACTTTTTAGCTGATTGATTTTAGGTATAATCTATTGATTTCCCACCATAATAGGTGAGGGTTTCCCTTTTCCATATCACCTTTTTCACTTCCCTTTCTCCCACCTTCCCTATGTAAGCATGTTGACATCTTATATCTCTTTTCCACCTGAGCATATTGACATTTTATGTTATATCCAAAGTCACTGTTTATATTATTATGGCCAAGCAAATATTGTTGACAACCCAATCAAATAGTATTAAATAGTATTCCATTTTCAACCACACATCCTTTTTTGTATTTTAATTTTTATTTCCTATATTTAATTTTTGCTATATTAAAAATTGTTGGCCGGGTGTGGTGGCTCACGCCTGTAATCCCAGCACTTTGGGAGGTTGAGGCCAGTATATCACAAGGTCAGGAGTTCGAGACCAGCCTGGCCAACATGGTGAAACCCTGTCTCTACTAAAATTACAAAAGTTAGCTAGGTGTGGTGGCCGGCACCTATAATCCTAGCTACTCGGGAGGCTGAGGCAGGAGAATCACTTGAACCCAGGGGGGCGTGGGTTGCAGTGAGCCAAGACTGTGCAACTGCACTCTAGCCTGGGTGACAGAGTGAAACTCCGTCTCAAAAAAAAAAAAAAAAAGTCATGTTTTTTCATTTGACTATTTGCCCACAAACCCATCCAATTTTTTCCTGAGCATTTCAATACCTCTGTCAGTTACATATCAAAATGTCTCACAAATATTTACACATGTAGTTTCCTTGAACTCTTCCAGAACCTTCCTTTGTTCTGTCTGGGCAGAGTGCTCTCAAGGGCTGCATACAACTGACAGTCTGGGAATTCCTAGCCTTTTATTTTTATGAATCATTAAAATGTAAGCAACAAAACCAACCCACCCAGCCCCCCCCAAAAAACCCACACACCAATGTTGAACTCTATACCTTCTAAAGTTTTTTTATTTTTTTTTGCAAAGTATATCCCTATTTGATTTTTTTGAGTAATCTGCTAACTCACTGTTTCAACAGTTGGAAACTAAAGAGAACAAACCAAGCATTAATGCTGCTGTTCAACTTTTTGTGTTCTAACTGTATCCTTGAGTAAGAAACTTGTAGATGAGAAAATTTTTCTCTTTATTAAACTCTTCCATCCACAAGTTTTTTTTTTGTTGAGACAGAGTCTCGCTGTGTCATCCAAGCTAGTGTACAGTGGTACCTCCACCTCTAGGGTTCAAACGATCCTCCTGCCTCAGCCTCCTGAGTAGCTGGAATTACAGGCACCTGCCACCATGCCCAGCTTATTTTTGTACTTTTAGTAGAGATGAGGTTTCACCATGTTGCCCAGGCTGGTCTAGAACTCCTGGCCTCAGGTGATCCACCTGCCTCAGCATCAGCCTCCCAAAGTGCTGGGATTATAGGCATGAGCCATCACACCCAGCCTAAAATAACACCATTTGTAATTCTTTTTTTGTGCGTGTGAAACAGGGTCTCACTGTAACCCAGGCTGGAATGCAATGACCCAATCACTCAACTTCCTGGGCTCAAGTGATCCTCCCGCCTCAGTCTCCAGAGTAAGCTGGGGTTACAGACGTGCACCACCAAGCCTAGCTAATTTTTGTATTTCTTGAGGAGATGGGGGTTTCCCTATGTTGCCCAGGCTGGTCTCAAACTCCTGGGTTCAAGTGATCCTCCTGCCTTGGCCTCCCAAAGTGCTGGGACTACAGGCATCATTGTGCCTGGCCTGTATAGTTATAATATATATATATATTTTTTTTTGAGACAGGTCTCACTGTGTCACTCAGGCTGGAGTTTAGTGGTAAAATCATGGCTCATTGCAGCCTTGACCTATTACGCTCAAGCAGTCCTCCCACCTCACCCTCCCAAGTAGATGGGACCACAGGCCCACCATGCCCAGCTAATTTTTCTTTTTTAGTATTTAGAGACAGGGTGTCACTATGTTACCCAGGCTGGTCTCAAATTTCTGGGCTCAAGTGATCCTCCCCGCTCAGCCTCCTAAAATGTTGGGATTATAGACATGAGCCACTGCACCCAGCCTTAAAGAGACTTTAAAGACGTATTGACAAATTGCAATATGGGGGCCTTATTTTGATTCTGACTCAAATATAAAATTATGACATTTGTGAGACATTGAAAATTTAAATGCCAACTAAATATTTGATCATATTAAGCAATTCTTGTTTATAACTTCTGGGATTACAAGTGTGAGCTACAGTGCCTGACCTATGTATGTATTTTTAAAGTTCAAAAGAACTTAAACCTTTGGCAAGCAAGTGCATTTTCACTTCTAAAATTAGAAATGGCCAGGCAAGGTGGTTTATACCTGTCATCCCAGTACTTCTGGAAGCTGAGGAGGGAGGATTGCCAGAGGCCAGGATTTTGAGACCAGCCTAGATAACATAGCGAGATCCCATCTCTACAAAAAATCAGCCAGACTTGTTTTCTTATGCCTGCAGTAGAAGGCAGAAAGATTGCTTGAGCCCAGGAGTTCAAGGCTGCAATGAGCTATGATCATGCCACTGCACTCCAGCCCTGGCAGGAAAGCAAGATCCTCTTCTCTAAAAAATAAATAAATGAGTAAATGAATAAATGAACAATAAAATAAAATCAGAAAACACAAAAACCATTTAAAGAGAGAGTATTAATAATTAAAAGTAGACTCTGGCCGGATGCGGTGGCTCAGGCTTATAATCCCAGCACCTTGGGAGGCCAAGGCGGGTGGATCACGAGATCAAGAGATCGAGACCATCCTGGCTAACATAGTGAAACCCCGTCTCTACTAAAAATAAAAAAATTAGCCAAGCGTGGCAGCGGGCGCCTGTAGTCCTAGCTACTCAGGAGGCTGAGTCAGGAGAATCCCTTGAGCCCAGGAGGCAGAGGTTGCAGTGAGCTGAGATTGTGCTACTGCACTCAGCCTGGGAGACAGAGTGAGACTCTATCTCAAAAAAAAAAAAAAAAAAGAGGAAAGAAGGGTAAAATGAAGAGATCAGTGAAGAGCTAGGAAGCTACATATTATGAGAGGTGGAGGGAAGGTAATGGGAGACAGGTATACCTGTGCAGGAGTGAGAATAAAAATAATAATTGGCCAAGGTGGGAGGATCACTTGAGGTCAGGAGTTCAAGACCAGTTTGGCAACATAGTGAGATGCCCCCCACCCCTCTCTACAAAAAAACATAAAAATTAGCAGAATATGGTGATGCACGTTTGTTGTCCCAGTTACTTGAGAGGCTGAGGTGGAAGGATCACTTGAACCTAGGAGGTCAAGGCTGCAGTGAGCCATGATCATGCCACTGGACTCTAGCCTGGGTGACAGAGCGAGATCCTGTCACTAAAAAAATAATAATAGGCCAGGCTTGGTGGCTCACACCTGTAATCTCTGCACTTTGGGAAGCTGAGGCGGGAGGATCACCTGAGGTCAAGAGTTCAAGACCAGCCTGGCCAACATGGTGAAGCCCCATCTCTACTAAAAATACAAAAATTGGCCAGGCATGGTGGCAGGCATCTGTAATCCCAGCTATTTGGGGGGCTGAGACAGGAGAATTGGTTGAAGGGAGGCAGAGGTCTCAGTGAGCCAAGACCACACCATTGCACTCCAGCCTGGGTGACAAGAGCAAAACTCTGTCTCAAAAAATAACAATAATAATAATAATTGGATTTGAGAGTGCCGGGATTCAAAGAAGAAAAGTATAAAAGGTAAACACTACCAGAACATTTTTTTAAAGTACATATTCTAAAGTATCTCAAATCAGGGACAGCCCCTTCAAGTCTGAGTAAAATTTTGGCCAATCCCTCTCAGTTCCCTCTTTGATTTGGGTCCATAGCTTCCTTCCTCTCAAGACAAGTACTTAGTCCATTTTCTCTTACCTCTAAGAACTCAGTCCAAATAGATTTGTGTAAAGAACTGTCTTTTTTTGGCAATAACTTGAAAAAGAAATAAGATGAAATATATACTTGTTCTATTTTGTATGGCTGAAAAACAACATTCATTTGCTTTTAGTTTGAATTATTATAAAAAATTGCAGAATTTGTCCTAATCTTTTTTTTTTTTTTTAATGAAGGAGCCTGTCTCAATTTAGTATCCTTAATAAATATGATTTAGTCCCAGGGCAAGAAGTGGCTATAAAGAAAACACAGCTCTTTGCTTAACAACCCTTTAGTCCTGGCTGTTCGAGGAAAGCTCACTGTGAAGGCAGAATGCGTTTGAAACTCTTCTCATTAAGAACTTGATGAGAAGTTCTTTCTTAAGTTGGACCTGACCACTCTGGATAATGTAAAACAGAAGTCATTTAGTGAGAGGTAGGGACAGGAAGAGGAAATGGCTGACCTGTAACTAGAGTTTTTCAAAGGTGACAGGTATACTTATTAATCTCCCGGGACCTATATTTATTTAGCAACCTGAGCTGACCAGCACATGTGCTGGGTAATGTTTAAATCATTAGAGTGCATGTATATGAACTTAACATTACAGGAATTTATTTTCTCTCCTATTGCTGATTTCTGCACATTTCCTCTTCCCCCACCCCCCAAACTGTGAAACAACATTCCAAAAAAGGCAACTCAATACAGGTTGTTTGGATAGAATTCTGTGGAATATTGATCATTAAGACTTCTCTTTTACCATCAGAACTATACAAAGAGTTCTCTGTTGTAAGTCACTGAATCTTGGGCAAAGAAATGTCCGCATCTATTTGAATTTAGTTTGGAGTTATTCCTTCTCTCTACAAAGAGGGTATAATGTATATATTTAGTTTAAAATATATGCATTATATTTTTAAATGTAAGTGATTTAATCTTGTTTTAAGGATTTAAAAAATTCTCTGGGATAATTAAAGGAGTTGCAAATTCCACAAAGCAGACAGCAAAACCATGATGTTCTAGAAATGTACAGAGATATGCACATAGTAAGGTAGGTGCATTGGCTCATGCCTGTAATACCAGCACTTTGGGAGGCCAACGTGGCTGGATCACCTGAGATGAGGAGTTTGAGACCAGCCTGACCAATGTGGTGAAACCTCGTCTCTACTAAAAATACAAAAATTAGCCGGGTGTGGTGGTGTGAGCCTGTAGTCCCAGCTACTCAAGAGGCTGAGGCAGGGACAATTGCTTGACCCTAGGAGGCGGAGGTTGCTGTGAGCTGGAATCATGCCACTGCACTCCAACGTGGACAAAAAGACCCTGTCTCACACAAAAAAAGAAAGAAAATAATAAAGAAAATGTATTTTGATAGCCAGTGACTAAAAAACGTAACCTAAATTAAATTTAATCCCACAGGCCGGGGGCAGTGTCTCACGCCTGTAATTCCAGCACTTTGGAAGGCCAAGGTGGGCAGATCATGAGGTCAGGAGTTCAAGTCCAGCCTGGCCAACGCAGTGAAACCCCGTCAATACCAAAAATACAAAAGTTAGCTGGGCACGGTGGCGGACGCATGTAATCCCCGCTACTGGCAAAGCCGAGGCAGGAGAATCATTTGAACTCAGGAGGCAGAGGCTGCAGTGAGCCAAGACCATGCCATTGGGCAACAGGGAGAGACTCCGTCTCAAAAAAAAAAAAAAAAAAAAAATTAATCCCGTATTGGCTACTTCATAAAACCTCAGGTCCAGTACAAAGAGCCCTAACACAAATTCAACAGGGGCACAATGCAGTATTAGACTTAAGCCCCCAGTAAAATGCTTTGACACCTAGCAGATCTGTGCCCTGATACTATTTTTTAAATTATGACTGATAAGAAGCTCTAAGAAACAGTAAAAGAAAAATGACTCATTCCACAAAGACATTTTTATGAGGGAAGTGGATTTAGAATTTAATGATGACATTTAGTCATTAGAAAGTAGA